CTACACATAATGTAAGGTTTATGGATCAAAGAAATGTTTGCAAGATTATTGCATCTTGAAGAGAGCAATCACAACGATTAATGCACAATTATATGAATTCATTTTACTTCGTTAGGTTCTCATCAGCTGCTTACAATCTGAAATATTTGAAATATCAATGTTATTACAGATATTGACATACTTATACATAAGAGAGGTGATAAAGGGTGAATATAAGTGTATCATGATGTAGCGAAGATTCCGATAGACTTAATGAAGTCATAAAATTTTGTCTCGAATAAATAGAGTTTGCGAGGGAAAGTTCCAGAATATTGAAATAGTGATTACAAATCATGGAATTAAAAAAAACGTTAGATGATTATGTAATCAACTAACCGAAAATATATTAATGTCAATAGAGAAAGTTATGAATTGAAATCAGTCAGTTATGAATGGTGTAATTTTAAACTTCAGAAAGTGTTGGAATAATGAATGACGGGATAAAAAAAGGGGGTTCAATGTTATCAGGGCAAAGAAAGATTTATTACTGTTTGTTTTTGTATACATAGATCTGGTTTTAGACGTTTGATTGCTGTTGCTTCAGCAAATTTCAGAAGGTTGGAGCTTGATTGTTTATTAATCACCTTGAAGGACTTCAGTGTATCGACTTCGTGTCCTGTGTCAAGGAGATGCCTTGCGATAGCACTGTTGAATGCTTTCAACCCATATGATGCTAAAATTTTTGAAATATGTTCTTTGAATCGGATGCAGGCTCTCCTTTCTGTTATACCAATGTAACTGCTTTGACAGATACATGTAAATTTGTATACACAGTTGGTGGTAACATGACAAGGATATCAGTCGACCTTTGATTGTGTTAAAGAACATGTTGTTTTGGACAGAACAATCAATTTAGCTGCAGGATAAGTTCTTGTCATATTGATTCACCTTGTGACATTATCACCTTTGAACTTAAGTTGAATAAGAATAGATTTCTTAATGACTGTAGTTTCTTTGGGTTTCTTATCTTCACTATTTCCATACTTCTCAATTAATTTCAGTGGGTATCCATTATTCTTTAAACACTTTTCAACATTCATAACTTCTTCTTCTAATGTATCGGCAGTAAATATTTTTTCTCTTCTGTCAAAGTGTTTTGACAAGTGCCATTTTTGTAATTGATTAGACAAAAGCTATTGAAATTGAGATATCTATCAATTACAGTCTCCTACTTTCACAGTCACCTTTGGCTAGATCTTGTACAAATTTTGGTTCCTATTTTGTGATGCAATATAGTCCGTTTGGTTAGCACATAAACCCAGTATGTTTGAAATACATGATTCATATCACAGAGTCTGAGATTGATGTTCTGGACTTAACAGGCAGGGCTAGGCAGAAAGTAGGACCTACAAAGTCTCTAGACTGCTCGTACGTGTTTATGCGTCATTGGTCCAGTCGATAAATCACTGTTCTCTAATTGGCGGTATCATTGCGTTATATATTAATAGGGCACAAGGCTAAAAGTTATAACACTCTCAAAGTGTCTGATAAGTTGGCATGGCATTAAAATATCATAACAATGACAATTGATAAGTAATTCACGTTGGTCATGGTCCAGTTGACAATAAATTCACAAAATATATGAATAATGTTTAGTTACAAGATTTTCAATAAACCGTTTTCCTCAAACAGAACGGTTTCTCTATCTTTATATATATAACATTTATCTCACGGAACGGAAACTAGCCTACATCTTATGAGTCAGTCTTCTCAAGATTTTGAACAATCTGCGAAGTATTACATAAGCCAGTAGTTCGAACACAATCCACCAAAAGTTGTTGTAGAAACTATGTGAACTCCTTTTAAAGATGGGAACAGATGTCGATCCTACTCACGAAGTTGAAATACTTTAATTGTCAGACTTATTTATTTATTTACTTAAACACATGAATATTGGTGCAAAGAGGCACCGAATACATATGCGCCACACAAGTCACTTGATTCGTGTATGGGCTGTGATACTGCCCGGGTGCCCAAACAAAAGCACGCGATTTTCTTTGGGGACCACACCCGGAGCAATTGGCCTAAAGATCTCATCCACAAGGTAGTGGAGTGTCTTAAGGAGATGCAGTCTCATGGTAGCTGGTGAGCAATAATTGGTTCCTATGCCATTTGTCCAACTCCGCCTGGAGCCCCTCCGGGGCTACTGCCGGTCACAAGCCCGGATAAAGGAGGAGGGTTGGGCATGCGGTTAGCGACCCAATCTCGTAGAAAAATAACTCGCTAGAAAAACGCTGACCGGAAAACTTATTCAAACCATTTAAACTCTGCCCTGGGAGTCAGAAGGTCTTCATTTATAAGAACTATGACGCCTCATGATGAAAGCCGAATTCCTTCGGAAGTTACGAGGCCGATGCCCATTCTGACAACCAGAGCGACCATTTATTTAGGTACATGGAATGTTCGTACAATGTGGGACACCGGGAGAGCCTTCCAAATTGCTGCAGAAATGAGAAGATACAACCTAGAGGTGATTGGGATCAGTGAAACACATTGGACGCAAGTTGGACAACATCGACTAGCTTCAGAGGAGCTGCTGTTATACTCCGGCCGTAAAGATGAAAATGCCCCACATACACAAGGAGTTGCATTGATGCTGTCCAAACAAGCACAAAGTGCACTTATAGGATGGGAATCTCATGAATCAAGGATCATCAAAACCTCCTTCAAAACAAAGAAAGAGGGCATTTCAATGAACATCATCCAATGCTATGCGCCTATTAACGACTACAATGAAGATCAGTTCTACGATAGGCTGCAGTCAATCATCGAGAAGTGCCCACGAAAGGACCTGACCATTCTGATGGGAGATTTAAATGCCAAAGTTGAAATGGACAACACTGGATATGTAGATATCATGGGACGACACGGACTGAGAGAAAGGAACGAAAATGATGAGAGATTTGCAAACCTATGTGCCTTCAATAAACTGGTCATAGGCGGCACTATATTCCCACATAAACACATTCACAAAATCACATGTACTTCACCGGATCACACTACACAAAACCAAATCGACCATATCTGCATCAATAAAAAGTTCAGGAGGACGATGAAAGACGTGAGAATCAAGAGGGGAGCTGATATAGCATCAGATCATCACTTGCCGGTCGCCAAGATTAAATTGTAACTGAAGAAGCACAGGACAATGTGGCGGACAACATCACAAAAGTTTAATGCAACTTTTCTTCGGGATACTGACAATCTCAACAAATTCAGGATAGTCCTCAGCAACAGGTTCCAAACCTTTCATGATCTACTCAATGGAGAGCATCTGGGAAGAGATCGAAAAGGCAATCACTCCAGCATGTCATGAGGTTCTGGGCCACAAGGAGCACCATCACAATGAATGGATCACTGTCGATACACTGGATAAGATTCAAGAAGGCAGGAATCATTATCAGCCGAATAAGAGAAGAGAAATTCAAGGCACAAGCTGAATACGCAAAAGCAAACAGTCAAGCAAAGAAGAGCACCGAAACCGACAAACTGACAAACTGAAAGCAGACGTAGCGGCAACTGCAAGGATACTCCACAGTGTAGCATCAGCCTCAGCAGCAGTAGGTCTCAACATACACAAATGGAAAAGCAAGATTCTGCGATACAACACAACATGCACTAATCCAATCACGATTGAGGGATAATCTTTGAAAGATGTAAAAACCTTTACATATATGGGCAGCATCATTGATCAACACGGTGAATCTGATGCAGATGTAAGGGCGCTGATCGGAAAAGCAAGAACAGCATATTTACAACTGAGGAACATCTGCAACTCAAAACAACTGTACACAAGCCAACACCAAGGTCAAAATTTTCAATACAAATGTCTAGACAGTTCTATTGTATGAGGCGGAAACTTGGAGAACTACCACAACAGTTGTCTACGCAAAATACTTCGGATCCGTTGGTCAGACACTTTCAGCAACAGTCTACTGTGGGAGAGAATAAACCAGATTACAGTAGAGGAAGAAATCGGGAAGAATCGCTGGAAGTGGATAGGACACAAATTGAGGAAAGCACTCAACTGTGTCACAATACAAGTCCTCACTTGGAATCCTGAAGTCGAAGGGAGGAGAGGAAGAGCAAAGAACATATTCTGCCGAGAAATGAAGATAGACATGAGAAGAATGAACAAAAATTGAATAGAACTAGAAAGAAATGCCCAGGACAAAGTGTGATGGAGAATGCTAGTCGGTGGCCTATGCTACATTGAGAGTAACAGGCATAAGTGAGTAAGTAAGTAAGTAAGTAAGTAAGTAAGTATGCCATTTGTTCCTTCGGGACCCTAGAGTCCATGTACACCAATAGTTTAGAATCAAGGTTCTTCAACTCCCCTAGTTGAACTCTCCATATCCACCAACCCTTATAAGTGCTGGACATTCACTTTCCATCCTCTCAATTTCGTAAACAATACACCTGCAACAAGAAGGAATTGACTGGAACTTCCCTGTCATTGGTTGTATTCACGTAATCATATGAGATCATTTCAAGAGGAAGAGTTCACTCTCTTCACTCTCTTCTGTACCAGTACATTTATGGTCAACCAGTTATGAATGAAATCATAATTATTTCTTTATTCAAATGAATTATAAAAATATCTTCAATAATAATATAGTCTGAATGCCTAAAAACAAAACAAAAAAAAACAGTTTTACACTTTAATCTTAATAATATTCAAGTTCATCTTATGGTTTTATTGTTACCATGTAAACAAAGATAATTAAAAAAAAAAAACTATTGTACATTGAACTTGTTATTATTCTGATAAACATTTCAAGAGAAAGAAAAACACAAAGAAAAACGAAAAAAAAAAACAGAAAAAACAAACAACGAAAAAATACAAAAAATGATATGCATGGATGATATGACTACTTAGTTGGATCTAAAGTTCATTACGTGGGTTGAAATGTATCCATGTTATTTGTTCATATTACTGATTTACTTCCATTTTATTTAACTATAAATATATATAAATCATCTCTGAATAGATTCATCAAGCATTATTCAATAGAATGTTACGATTTTCTATATTCCTCATTCATTGTTTATCTATTGTATTCGTTCAATCAAGATTCAATTCAACCATTGAATATTTTGATGAAAATCTTAGTGATAAGAATAAATGGGCTATTCTAGTTGCTGGATCTAATGGATTTGACAATTATAGACATCAAGTAAGTAAGCATTATTGATTATAATAAGTAAATAATCATTGAATATAAGTAAACTTTATGATAGTTATAGTAACTATCCTATAATCAATTATTGATTATGATTCATTTTGATTGAAGCTATTTTGATTCACTTACTTAATAAATAATATATTCAGAAGGGGTTTTATGGAGATTTTAGAACTCTCACTGATTGAAATCATCAGTCAATGGAAGCTAGACCATCATAAAAAACCTGGGAACATTGGACGGCCGTTTCGTCCTAGTATGGAACTCCTCAACAGTGCACATCCTCCATCCCGCACCTTGCGTGATTTGAACTCAGAACTTATCAGTCTCACGCCAGGCGCTTAACCAACTAGACCGCTGAGCTGGCCGGGATCCGACGGTCTCAGTGTCTAACTTCAATCAATCCACTAAGTTGCACCACCGTACATCATTGTCTTCAGTGAGTTGATGTCTCACAACAGGCATGGCCGAACTCCACTGCTAACGGCTTCTCACTAGAACTCCAGGAGTATCTCTTGAAGTCAGTCACTAGTGAGGAGATAATTATTATCAGAATGGGTTTTGTGGATATTTTTAGAAATTTCATTGATTAAAATCTTGAGTCAATCAAAGCTAGATCATCGAATATCATTAAGCGACTGGCTATTTTTGTAATTTTTTTAACCCTTTAAAAAAGTTTTTTTCATCCCATTTTCCGATATTTTTCTCATCCCGTTTTGTCCAATTAAATGGCTAGTTTTAAATTCGTTATAATTGGTTATTTATGTCTTAAAATTTTTTATAAAATGTCAGTATTTGTCGATAGAGCACATTTTCTTCCAATTATGGACAGTAGTAACATGCAAAGCACAAGCTCTGTCGTTTCTCACGTTGTCACAGAAACTGACAACCTATTCTTGAGTACATTGTATCTCGTAGCGTTCCAATCTTTTGAAGCGTTGAAGAGCGCCATTAGAACTTATGAAAGAGCTACGTGCTGCCATTATGCGGTGCGAGATTCTCATTTCCATAGGGATCGGAAGCCATATATTAAATTCGTATGTTATAGAAATGGCCGTAAAACACCTAGCGGTTCTTCACAGCCTAGTAGACGAAGGAGGTAATTTGATTAGTTTTATTATAATTTTTCATAAAGGACTTTTGTGAACACTTAATGTCCTTCCTTCATCTTTTGTAAGTTACCAACTATCAAAATAACGTCGATATGGATGCAACGTTAAGCAATGACGAAGAGGAAATTGTTTCGATTAACTCAGAGGAGTTTACTAAACGAGACGACAACAATGACGAAAACGTGTATGACAACAGACTTTGTGATATTTGCAACCTTCCGCAACCGTCACTTGAAACTGCTGATGGAAGTGCCTGGAAAGTTCTGTACTAATGAATTATTGAAAGATTTTAAACTAGGTTTTTATTTAATTGAAATGGGCACCCTATAACTCAACAAGATATTATGTAATTCATAGTACAAGAAAGATGGTAAAAATATACTACAACTAAATTTCTTCTACTTTAGTTTAAATATTTTTCAACTACCTAGATAACATCAATTGAAGTGTGTTACGTTTCCAGTTCACTTGACTGTTTCATCAAACAGAATTGATTGATTATAAAGAAGGTAATCCAATCACTGAGATTCAAGAGCAGCTAAATAGATAAGTAGAACGCTTTGAAGAGCTTTTGAATAAATCAGCCTCAGTGAACCCATTGGACATCGGAGCAGCGCATACAGACCTACCTACAAATGATACAAAATCAGTAATACAAGAAACCAGCAAGTTCATTAGGCAAATCAGAAATGGCAAGGCCGGGTAACCGGACAGTGTACCATTTGAAGGACTGAAGTCAGATATAGAAGTGACTGCGAAGATGTTCAATGTGCATTTCAGAAAGATTTAGGAGGAAGAACAAGTACTGACAGACTAGAAGTAGGGATGCTACAGAAAAGAGGTTTCAAGTGTGAGAACTACAGAGCATACCACTAATATCAGCACCAGATAACGTTTTCAAATGTGTTGCTAAACTGAATGAAAGATGCAGCAGATGTCCAACGTTGAGATCAACAGGCTGGATTTCGTGAGTACGGTCGTATACATACCAAATCGAGATACTACGGATCATTATTAAGCAATCAATTGGATCAAATTTACCACTTTACCTTAACTCCATAGACTATGAATATGCGTTTGACAATGTGGATACGATGACATTGTGAAATCTTTTTTCATACCACAGTGTACCTGAGAAGATGGACAGCTTGCATGCAACTAGACAATTTGGACTTCGTAGATGATCTAGCTATTTTGTCTCATAAACTTCAACGAATGCAGATCAAGACAAGCAGTTTAGCAGTAGCCTTTACACCAGAAAGCCTCAGTTTACACAAGGGAAAAACCAAGATCATCAAATACAACACGAAGAACATAATCACATTTGATGGAGATACTATGGGAGAGGTGGAAAGTTTCAGATACCTAGACAGCATCATCGATGAACAAGGAGGATCTGATGCAGACGTAATAACAACGATTGCCAAATTAAGGGTGGCATTCCTACAGTTGGAGAATATATGAAACTCAAAACAACTGTCAACCAATATCAAAGTCAGGATCTTCAATATGAACGTCAAGACAATTCTGTTATATGAAGCTGAAACTTGGAGAACTACAACAACCATCATCAAGAAGGTACAAGTATTTATGAACAGTTGTCTACGTAAGATACTCAATGTCTGTTTGCCGGATACCATCAGTAACAGCTTTCTGTGATACAGAACAGATCAGCTTCCATCTGAAGTGGAATTAGGAAGAGACCCCTGAGGTAGTGAGTGGGACATAAATACGTAAGTAAACAAGCAAATCAAAGTTTCTTTGGTAGTTGATACTCAATAATAAGGTATATATATACATAAGTTGCTTATTAAATGATATTCTTTTTACAAATTTAGGCAGATGTCTGTCATGCTTACCATGTATTACGTTCGAAGGGTATAAAACCTGAACATATTATCACAATGATGTATGATGATATCGCTCATAATAAGATGTAAGTAATAAATAAATATCTTTGTAATGTATAAATTAGTATTGTTATTGACTAATTATTGAATAATTTGTATAGTATAACTTATAATGAAGTGAACTAACTGACTAGAATCCACTTCCATCGTCAGTAATTAGTGCCTACTTACAACTGTTTAGATTGCAGATAAGTTTGATTCCCAATGATTGCATAAATATATACTGAAACATAATGCATTGAACTCACTTACCCTTTGATACCCATATGAAGTCACTAGCAACTGGACTGAGCCATGTGTAGACTACCTGGATCAGCGAGATGATAGTAACCGATGGTTAGAGACCCTGAATGACATGGCTCAAAATCGTTTGCAATGGCTCAGGTGCATCCACTCTTTGTGTTCTCCCAAATTCTAATCTTCTGAATTCTTCATGTCCCTTTTTTCCTCTTTCCAAATTTATTTCACTGGATTATACTCTTTAAATAACATCTCCAAACCTTAATGTTTACGATTACTGCTTATACTCTTACTATCTCTACCACTACGGGATTTGAGTCGACAACTGCATCTCTGTGCTGTGGTGTAGCAACTCGAACTGATGTACGTACGTACGAAGTCCTACGTTGTTACTGACTGACTAATACCCAAACATTATGAAAGGAAAATATTCAGGTCACATGGTGAACACGTTGAAGAGTCTATGCTTTATGGTGAACATATAGTATACTTCGGATTTGTCACAGTTAGCTGAAATATGAAGAATAATCTAAACATGTCACATCTAATAGTCCAAGAGTGATTCATTTTTAATCACTTGTATTTCCATCATTAGGTTACAGGTCTTAAAATCGGTTTCATATACCAAATTGTAGACAATTGAATTCTTGAAAGAGTCCATGGACGACGAAATCACACACATATTAAACTGAATAAAAAATATGCTGGTCAAAAAGTCGGAAGTTTCCATCTTTAATTCCTTGTGAGATCGTGAGTGAGTGAGTGAGTGCATGAACATTATTTAAGAGTTGCTAAATGGGTTAAAACATCTGTTCATCACTTTGTGACTTTCAATCATCCTCTATCTGACGTCATTCTGTTGTGAAACTTATCACTGAGATGAAGTGTCCTTATGAAAACGAATAGATTTCAACTGAAGTGACACTCTGAATGTTTATATTCTCGAAAGTATCTAAATGCATCTCCAGTCAAATTTCTTTGCAAAATTTAAACAACTGACTTACACCTTGTAAGTAACATGGTAATAATCGACTGGAAACCAATCTAAAGCCTCAAAACAATCTTCACAATGTCAATTCATTTCAACTAGTAGTTACACTATAACACGTCTGATATAATGAAATCAAAATTTCAAACTGTAGACAAACATAACACTGGACACTGTTCAATTATTATTCAACTATAAGTTTATCATATTATACCAATGTGGTAAATTAAAATCAAATAAACACAGGAAATAATTTTTGATGGCGTTTCGTTCTCTGAGCTGAATGATCTGGTCGTGGAGCTTTCATCGTTCTTCTGAACGACATCATCAACACAAACTCCAGGTAGATGTCAAGTGTTCAAATTTCTCTATATGTGGTTCAGAACTTGTCCTGTACACCTCGATGTTGAATGGTTCTTGTTGACCTTTAATTTGTCATTGTTCACCTCTTTGTTTTGGTTGTGTCTCCCATTGATTTAATTTTTGTTCCTATGTCTTAAATTGGATCGATTTCAATGTGCTTGTTTATTGCTGATTGACCTGAGTGTCAAGCTTCTACAAATTTTCTGCTGTTTTCGGAATTTCCTCTCTCCAAGAATTCCAAACTTTCTCAATCGAATAAGTGTCCGCAGTTGTCCATGTGTATTGATATAAGTGAAGAAGTATCATGACGTTCGACTGCTAATTGATGTTCATGTAGGCGAAGGTGAAGAGGGCGTCCTTTTTATCCGATGTAGTGTTTTTCGCAGTTGGCAGAATTTATTTTGTAGGTAATGTTTGATTTTTCTTCTTTTGTTATTTCATCCTTCGGTTTGCATAGGATTGATTGCAGTGATTTTGTCGGTTTGTGTCCCACGTCTATCCCTAAGGTGCCTTTTATGTATGGCAGGGCGATTCTTTTGTTGATTTCTGTGCTTGACTTAAGTTCTGATGCTACGTGCGGTTAGTATTTTTTGATGAAGTTGATTGGGCAGCCGTTCTTTTGAAGTACGTCCTTCAGGTATTTCTCTTCTTTTTTTCGTGCTGCCAGTGTGCTGCAGTGTGTCCTCGCCCTTTTGAACAAAATGTGTACGCAGTTGATTTTATGAGCTCTTGGGTTGTTACTATTGTAGTTGAGAATTTGATCTGTATGGGTCGGTTTTCTATACATTTGAGTTTCCAGTTTTCCTGTGTCGATTCTAGTGATTAATATATCCAAGAATGATATTTTTTGTTTGACCCTGTTCCATTGTGAACCTAATGTCACCATCCAAAACTCCATTAAAATCATCCGTCTGAGCTACAAATCTTCACCACCACAGGAAATAATCTTAAAAGTGTTCACCTAATATCTAGAACTAAATGAAGGTTATAAATTAGTGTAAAGAATTCGAATGATGAATTACAGTTGATAGTTAGGGTTAGATATTAAATTTGGGGTTTTCACATCATGAACTGATATCAGCTTTATAATGCCAAAACTCTATTTATCTGAATGAATGGGTGAATTTCGCGCCAAAATCTGACACTAGTTATCTTAAATCTGATTGGTTTATTCATAATTGATAGTCTCACCCTTATCATTCCTATGAATTTATCAGTTTAATGAAAGTTAGTTTATCCATGAGAATTAGGAAATGTTCTTTCTTTGAGTTTAATAAATTTTTTAATGAAGGTAAAATCAATATCACTATCCATACAAACAATTGATATCATTCAATAAAGTATGATGTTTGTTATAGATGTCAACAGATATAAGTAGTATATAACACCAATAGAAAGTGAAATGCCTCAAGGCAGAAGGTTATGAAGATTGAAGAAAAGTGAAAGACAACAAAGAATGATTGCACAGATTGAAATCCTCAGTCAATTGAAGGTAGGTCACCATGGAAAACCTGGAAGCACTGGACGGCCGTTTCGTCCTGGTATGGGACTCCTCAGCAATGCTTATCCTCGATCCCGCCTCCCGTGAGACTCATGATTTCAATCTGTGAAATTTCTAAAATCTTTACAAAACCCATTCTGACAAAGAATGATTGGTTTGAAAACGAAAGAATAATCAAGTTTGAGACAATTGATTGATATTTTGCAAATGAAGTGCTTACTGCGTGGTTCTCTGATTTTACTAAGTGATTCTGTAATTCTATTGTCCCCACTTGTGTTCTGGTTCACTACAGAAGTACTAACTCTGAATCTATTATTGAAATCTATGATTTAGTTGTTGAAAATAATAACATATCTGAAGTGTTGATCTTTTCTTCCAATGGCAATCAACCCCTTTCTATGAAATAGATGTCTAATAAATATCACAACTAAACCATCCACTTAGCAACTGTACCTACAACTGTACCAATATCTGATAATTTCGATCAATATGCATTTACATTATAATTTTAATTTGCAACTTATGTTTAAATGATATTCATATCGTTTTGTATCAATCATTTAGGAATCCATTTCGTGGAAAAATTTTCAATGATTATAGCCATAGAGATTGGTATAAAGGAGTTGTGATCGATTATAAGGGTAATGTAAGTAATTATGTTTACTTTATAGTTGATTTTAATTTTTGTATACATTGTTCAAATTCCATATTCCGATCAGTCTGATCTAATCTAAAGGAATAATAATAATTTTATATTCTGAAAATAATACAGAATTCACGCCAGTTTATAGGTATGATCAATTCGATATAAATAGTAACATCATATATGCAAAGACGGATAGTGGTTAGCAGTGGAATTCAGTTTGACGCACGTTTCGTCCTATTTAGGACTCGTCAGCTGGATGTACCTACTTCTCAGAGTTGGTATTCACTCTGGAGCTCGAACTCAGTACCGTTCGCTAAATGGATAACGCGATGATAAAGTAGACACAAATGTATTAAGCTTATAATAATAATATATTCTAAAAATAATCATTACAGAATTCACACCAGTTTACAGGCATGGTCAATTTGATATAAATAGTAACATTGGATGTTTTAAGTTTACTAGTTTAGTAATTGTTTAGCTAGTACATGTATTTTACAGCAATGCAATACATCAGCTGGGAACTTTAATTTTTCTTAAGTGGACATCCTGTTGATTTATGAACGGTGTATTTAAGGTTATTTCCTGTGCCAGATCGAATCAGTGATAATTATTTACAATTAGAGAAAATAAAATGAAAATACAGAGCACGGAACAACAAAGCAATAATTACTAAAATATGTCAATCAGCAAAGATGGATAGTGGTTAGCAGTGGAACGCGCGTTTCGCCCTATTTAGGACTCGTCAGCTGGATGTACCTGTATCTTGATTTTCACTCCGGGACTCGAACCCAGTGCCGTTCTCGTCAAAAGTGATCGCGTTCTCCATTTACATACTGAGTCCTGATAGCTACTTGCATGTGCAATCGGTGAAGTTTAAATTCACTTGGTATTGTTTACTGGAATCTTCCATTGATGTTTAGGACTGCAACTGATCAGTTTCTTATTGACATATGTGCATAATGTGCGTGTTACCTCAACACTGGCTATTAGGAATCAGTAGCTAAGTGCATAACGCGATGTTGTTTGAAGCGAACGGTACTGGGTTCGAGTTTCGGAGTGAACATCAACTCTGAGGCAACCTGCACAGTATGCACATATGCCAACATTATACTGATCAATTACAGTCCTAAATAACAATGAGAAGATACAAGTAAAACAATACGAAGCGAATTTATGTCAATCAGCTTTACCATAATGCATGCGTCATGTGACCCAGTGATATACTGTTCATGTTAGATGTTATTCAAATTAGTTAACTATGCTAGGGATAGTGTTAACGTAACTTGACAGCATGTAGGTGGTTTTACATATGGAATTTATTTATAAGAATGGCTTAACATTTAAAGTTCCTGTAATTTCACTTATGGAATATGATACACTTACAGGCGCTAGAACATTTAATGCATTTTCATAGGAGCAGTATGCATCAATGCAGCAAATAAAGAATGGGAGTGATTTTATCGTTACGGATAGATTGTGGTAGATTATTACAGAGTCTGGAAAATTTGGAGGTGAAGTAATTCATATAAAGAGATGATTTAGAATGAGTTTGTTTCACTAGTGCCAAGGAATTACGGATGTCATAATGAGAGGTTTCTGCATATTGAATTACTTGGTTGGTTATAAAGGATAGTTTGTTAGATGCTGAAAACTATGAACTGTGGAGTAGTATACAATTTTTGTCATAAATTTAAATAGTGTACACAGTCATCAAATCTAAGTGTCATAGTAATAATCTTGAGGATTATATCAGCCTTAGTAATAAATTTTCTGACTAATTATCGTTTAGTACCTGTTAAGTTTGTGACTTTTTCTTGATGATATTAAGGAAAGTAACTGATCAATCTCTCTTAAGGAACGAAAGCAAAGGAGCAGAATTTTGTCTGAGCCTAATGATTCGTACACATCACGACTGTTCGGTTTACCCAAATTTCGTAATTCGTATCCTCTTCTCTGTCCACTTGTATATATCTGCAATTCTCTATCTCAAAAAACTGCAGAGTGTTTAATTCGAATCTTAGAGCCTCTGAACAAATTGATCGTAAAAAGGACCGTCAAAGACGTTCTCAACTTCGTTTCTGTAGTGGAAAGTATGAATGTTGATAGAAAATACACGATCCGAATAGATCGCATATCTTCATTTACCGGGTTTATATGTATGCAAATATCGACGAATCAAATCAACATTGACTTTCCTGAAATACATTGCAAGATTTACTCCTAGGTTGTACGGTGAAGGTGTATTTTGTCTTGAACAATACTTATTATAGAAAAACTGATGGAATAGCTATAAGCTCACATCTAAACTCAATTTCAGCTGATTTACTTACTTACTTACTTACGCCTGTTACTCCTCGTGAAGGAGCATAGGCCGCTCACCAGCATTCTCCATCCAACCCTGTCCCAACCAATCCTTTCTAGCTCCGTCCAGTTGTAATTCATCGTTTTCATATCTGCTTCTATTATCCGACGCAATGTGTTCTTTGCCCTTCCTCTTTTTCGCTTCCCTTCAGGATTCCAAGTTAGGGCTTGCCTCGTGATACAGTTTGACGATTTGCGTAGTGTATGTCCTATCCACTTCCATCGTCTTTTCCTAATTTCTTCTTCAGCTGGAAGTTGGTTTGTTCTCTCCCACAGAAGGCTATTGCTGATGGTATCCGGCCAATGGATGTTGAGTATCTTGCGAAGACAGCTATTTATAAATACTTGTACTTTCTTGATTGTGGTTGTTGTAGTTCTCCAAGTTTCAGCTCCATACAGTAGAACTGCCTTGACGTTCGTATTGAAGATTCTCACTTTGATATTGGTTGACAGTTGTTTTGAGTTCCATATGTTCTTCAACTGTAGGAATTCAGCCCTGCTTTGCCAATTCTCGCCTTTACGTCTGCATCAGATCCTCCTTGTTCATCGATGATGCTTCCCAGGTATGTGAAGGATTCTACATCTTCCAGAGTTTCGCCATCAAGTGTGATTGGATTGCTGTTCTCCGCTTTGAATTTGAGGACCTTGGTCTTCCCCTTGTGTATACTGAGGCCTACTGATGCAGAGACTGCTGCTCCACTGGCTGTCTTTATCTGCATTTGTTCGTGTGCATGCGATAGGAGGGCTAGGTCATCTGCAAAGTCCAAATCGTCTAACCGGTTCTGAGCTGTCCATTGTATTCCGTGTTTTCCTTCAGATGTCGAATTCTTCATAATCCAGTCGACCACCAGGAGAAAAAGGAAGGGAGAGAGTAAACAGCCTTGTCTGACTTTTGTTTTTACTTGAAATGCATCCGTCAGCTGTCCTCCATGCACTACTTTGCACTGTAGTCCGTCGTATGAGTTCCGGATAATATTGACAATCTTCTCAGGAACTCTGTAGTGTCGAAGAAGTTTCCATAACGTCCTCCCATCTACACTGTCAAATGCCTTTTCATAATCAATGAAGTTGATGTATAGTGATGAGTTCCACTCAACTGATTGTTCGACGATGATCCGTAGTGTTGCAATTTGGTCTGTGCACGACCGATCCTTACGGAATCCAGCTTGTTGATCTCGAAGTTGAGCGTCTACTACATCCTTCATCCGGTTCAGCAACACTCTGTTGAAGACTTTCCCTGGTATTGACAGTAGTGTAATGCCTCTGTACTTCTCACATTTGCTCAGATCTCCTTTCTTTGGAATCTTGACGAGGTGTCCTTCTTTCCAGTCCATTGGCACTTGTTCCTCCTTCCAAATCTTTTTGAATAGAAGATAAAGCATGTTTGTGGTTGCTTCGATGTCTGATTTCAGTGCTTCAGCTGGTATGTTGTCGGGTCCTGCTGCTTTCCCGTTCTTGATTTGTCTGACGGCCATTCTAATTTCTTCCGTAGTTGGTGGATTGACATCTATAGGAAGATCTATGTGTGCTGCTTCGATGTCCGGTGGATTCATTGGAGCCGGCCTATTCAGGAGTTCCTCAAATTATTCTACCCATCTGTTACGTTGTTGTTGAATTTCGGTGATTGGCTTGCCTTCTTTGTCTTTGACCGGTCTCTCTAGTTTACTGTAATTCCCTGATAGTTTCTTCGTTGTATCGTGAAGCTGCTTCATATTTCCTTCTCTAGCACCTTTTTCTGCCGTCGTTGCTAGTTCTTCCACGTATTTCCTCTTGTCGGCTCTAATGCTCCTCTTCACTTGTTTGTTTGCTTCTATGTATTCAGCATGTGCTTGGACTTTCTCTGCTCGTGTTCGGCTGTTGTTTATTGCTGCCTTCTTGTTCTTCCTTTCTTTGATCTTCTCCACTGTTTCTGTAGAGATCCATTCCTTATGACGGTATTTCTTTAGACCGAGAACCTCTTGACACGTTGAAGTTAATGCTTCCTTGATGCCTTTCCAGTTGTCCTCCATATTAGTTTCTTCTTCCTTCAGTAGATCTTGTAAGGCTTGGAACCTGTTGTTGAGAGCTATCTTGAATTCATTGAGTTTGTCAGTATCTCGAAGGAAGACTGTATTGAACCTTTGTAATGCTGTTTGTCCAGTTGTCCAGTTCTTATTTAGCTTCAGTTTTAAATTGGCCATAACTAGGTGTTGATCTGAAGCTATGTCAGCTCCTCTCCCTCATGATTCTCACATTTTCCATTGTCCTTCGGAATTTTTTATTGATGCAAATATGATCTATCTGGTACTCTGTAGTGTGGTCCGGTGAGATCCATGTAGCTTTGTGTATAAGTTTTTGGGGAAATATTGTGCCTCCTATGACAAAGTTGTTGAATGTACATAGATTTTCAAATCTTTCCCCACTTTCGTTTCTCTCTCCCAGTCAATCCATTTCGTCCCATGATATCTTCATATCCGGTGTTGTCTATTCTGACTTTGGCATTTAGATCTCCCATCAGAATAGTGAGGTCCTTTGTTGGGCACTTCACTATGATTGATTGCAGCCGCTCGTAGAATTGATCTTTAATGTCGTCGTTGCTATCATTGGTGGGTGCATAACATTGGATAATATTCATTGTGATCCCCTCCTTCTTTGTTTTGAATGATGCTTTGATGATTCTGGATCCGTGAGTTTCCCATCCTACAAGTGCATTCCCTGCTACTTTGCACAGAATTAGAGCAACTCCCTGAGTGTGTGGAGCATTTTCCTCTTCGTGGCCGGAGTATAGCAGCATCTCTCCCGTATCTAGCCTTTGTTGGCAAGCTTGAGTCCAATGGGTTTCGCTAATTCACAGTACTGCCAAGTTGTATCTCCTCATTTCCGTTGCTATTTGACTGGTCTCCCATATTTTCCGGACATTCCATCTACCTATAAAAAGTGTTGCTCTGGTTGTCAGAAGGAGCATTGGCCTCGTGGCTTCCGAAGGAACTCGGCTTTCACCATGAGGCGTCATAATTCTTCTAAATGAAGATCTTCTAACTCCCAGGACAGAGTTTAAATGGTTTGAATAATTTTTCTGGTTAGCGTGTTTTCGGTGAGTTAGACTTCTACGAGATGGGGTCGCTAACCCCATGCCCAAGCCTCCTCCTTTACCCGGGCTTGGGACCGGCAGCAACCCTATAAGAGCTACAGTCGGAGTTTTCAGCTGATTTCTTCCAAGCTAAATTAGGAAATGGAACGCTTAACAAGACTAGCAACAAACTAGATCTATAATCCAATCACATCGACGACACATTCATTAATGAAGTGCGGAATACCAATAAAAGAGAACTCCCACACCGTCTCAATAGTATACAACTGACAATCACACTGGTGACGATGTGTGACGATAAACTTAATTTTCCGGACATCTGGTTAAGAAGACTGGATGACGGATCGTTAAGTATAATTGTGTATAGAAAGAGCTCTTCTTCTCTCCAATACACACGCTTCTACACTTGTATGCCCATTTGCCACAGAAGAAATCAGGTTAGATGTCTCACAAGCAGAGCAAAAAATCTCAGATGATATCATAAAGAAGGATTTGGAGTTTATTTATAGCATACTGACGGAAATTGGCTGTTCTAGAAATCTTTTAAAAATGTACATGTATGTGGGGAAAAAATAAGTCAAAGTCACTGACCACTGATAAGAAAAGTCTATTCTTGAAGTTAAGTTTCTATTAGGACGTGGCTAGTGATATCCTACCCAATAGATTAGCAGGGACGCATAATATGACATACTATGCAGCTAATTTTGCGTTGATATTTACCAGTACACTAGTGATATCTACAGAAACAATGGAAAAGTTCTCAGAGTTTGCCACTTCAGTATGCATCTACAAATTCAGCTGCTTCTGAGAAGATATTCATAGGTATGGCGTACTACGAAGACTAATGATGATCTAGCTCAAAACCATAGTGTCTGCTTACGTATTGTTCTATTTTCCTCTCAACTAAATTTACTCCAGTTAGGATTGTACAAATAGGTTTGTTCTACTATCTGAAAACTTTGAATAAATGAATAATGTTAGCCGTACTTATACAAAACACGAAATAAAATGCATTTGCGATTCATCAACATCTGATAGATGATCCTTTGAAATTTCATCATTCAACATTCTGATTCAACAAATACAAAAGAATTTTCTTTTATTCCTAGAATGTCAACTCGGAAACTTTTCTGAAAGTTCTGAAAGGAGATAAAAGCGCTGGTGGAAAAGTTTTGAAAAGGTAAGTTATTTATATTGTCACACTTTTGTTTTACGTAACCATAAATGATGATATCAATAAGCTTAATACACATTGAATAGTAAAAGGAGATCAGTATGGAGATCTACTTGAACTCGATTGCATACTACTTTTCACTCATCAGCAACATGATTCTCAAATACTGAGTTATGTAGAATTGAAACTGTTAGATTGGATCGATTCCATTCAGATTGAAACTTGCCTTCATATTCTGTATGATTCTTTCAGTTAATAATTCCTTCCGATTTTCCTTCTATTCTCTTTAATTCGATCTACCTAGATTTGTGCTGACAGGTTTTCCATTTCCGGTTAGTTTAACATACTAATTAAACCTGTCGACAGGCATACAGTACATTATTGTAATTGTTTGTTAGATTAATCGATATATTTAATCGGTATTTTATCCGTTCAGAGGTGACACTCATCTGTCATATTATGAACTTATGAGCTTCTATCTCTCAATCAATGAATCAATCTATCAAACTGTATTGTGACCATTCGATTAAGTAAATCGATTCATGCAACGAAGTTGAGTTAGTTGTCTCAAAACTCTATAGATTTAGGAGTGAAACGGTATGAATTTGATGGATTTTGCACGAGCATTACACATATTAATCAACCAAATTAAAGTAAATCGTGTTAAAGTGGATTGATTCCATTCAAGTTGAAACAAGCTTTGAAAATGATTGTTGACTGTAGACGATTCTGATAGTGTTGTCTCTCAGTTGATGAGTATTAGTACTTACATTCTTACGCTTGTTAATCCTCGTGAAGTAGCATAGGCCGCTCAAAAGCACTCTCCATCCAACTCTACCCTGGGTAATACTTTCCAGCTCCTTCCAGTTTTTATTCATCCTTTTCATATCTGCTTCTATTATCCGACGTAATGTGTTCTTTGCCCTTCCTCTTTTTCGCTTCCCTTCAGGATTCCAAGTTAGGGCTTGTCTCGTGATACAGTTTGACGATTTGCGTAGTGTATGTCCTATCCACTTCCATCGTCTTTTCCTAATTTCTTCTTCAGCTGGACGCTGGTTTGTTTTCATCCATAGAATCGTGTTGTTGATGGTATCCGGCCAATGGGTGTTGAGTATTTCGTGTAGACAACCATTTATAAATACTTGTACATTCTTGATGATGGTTGTTGTAGTTCTCCAAGTTTCAGCTCCATACAGTAGAACTGTCCTGACGTTCGTATTGAAGATTCTGACTTTGATATTGGTTGACAGTTGTTTTGAGTTCCATATGTTCTTCAACTGTAGGAATTCAGCCCTGCTTTGCCAATTCTCGCCTTTACGTCTGCATCAGATCCTCCTTGTTCATCGATGATGCTTCCCAGGTATGTGAAGGATTCTACATCTTCCAGAGTCTCGCCATCAAGAGTGATTGGATTGCTGTTCTTCGTTTTGAATTTGAGGACCTTGGTCTTCCCCTTGTGTATACTGAGGCCTACTGATGCAGAGACTGCTGCTACACTGGCTGTCTTTATCTGCATCTGTTCGTGTGCATGCGATAGGAGGGCTAGGTCATCTGCAAAGTCCAAATCGTCTAACCGGTTCTGAGCTGTCCGTTGTATGCAGTGTTTTCCATCAGATGTCGAATTCTTCATAATCCAGTCAACCACCAGAAGAAAGAGGAAGGGAGAGAGTAAACAGCCTTGTCTGACTCCGGTCCTTACTTGGAATGCATCTGTCAGCTGTCCTCCATGCACTACTTTGCACTGTAGTCCGTCGTATGAGTTCCGGATAATATTGACAATCTTCTCAGGAATTCCGTAGTGTCGAAGAAGTTTCCATAATGTCTTCCTATCTACACTGTCAAATGCCTTTTCATAATCAATGAAGTTGATGTACAGTGACGAGTTCCACTCAGTTGATTGTTCGACGATGAGCAATTTGTTCTGTGCACGACCGATCCTTATGGAATCCAGCTTGAGGCCCACAACCTCTTGACACGTTGAAGTTAATGCTTCCTTGATGCCTTTCCAGTTGTCCTCCATATTAGTTTCTTCTTCCTTCAGTAGATCTTGTAAGGCTTGGAACCTGTTGTTGAGAGCTATCTTGAATTCATTGAGTTTGTCAGTATCTCGAAGGAAGACTGTATTGAACCTTTGTAATGCTGTTTGTCCAGTTGTCCAGTTCTTATTTAGCTTCAGTTTTAAATTGGCCATAACTAGGTGTTGATCTGAAGCTATGTCAGCTCCTCTCCCTCATGATTCTCACATTTTCCATTGTCCTTCGGAATTTTTTATTGATGCAAATATGATCTATCTGGTACTCTGTAGTGTGGTCCGGTGAGATCCATGTAGCTTTGTGTATAAGTTTTTGGGGAAATATTGTGCCTCCTATGACAAAGTTGTTGAATGTACATAGATTTTCAAATCTTTCCCCACTTTCGTTTCTCTCTCCCAGTCAATCCATTTCGTCCCATGATATCTTCATATCCGGTGTTGTCTATTCTGACTTTGGCATTTAGATCTCCCATCAGAATAGTGAGGTCCTTTGTTGGGCACTTCACTATGATTGATTGCAGCCGCTCGTAGAATTGATCTTTAATGTCGTCGTTGCTATCATTGGTGGGTGCATAACATTGGATAATATTCATTGTGATCCCCTCCTTCTTTGTTTTGAATGATGCTTTGATGATTCTGGATCCGTGAGTTTCCCATCCTACAAGTGCATTCCCTGCTACTTTGCACAGAATTAGAGCAACTCCCTGAGTGTGTGGAGCATTTTCCTCTTCGTGGCCGGAGTATAGCAGCATCTCTCCCGTATCTAGCCTTTGTTGGCAAGCTTGAGTCCAATGGGTTTCGCTAATTCACAGTACTGCCAAGTTGTATCTCCTCATTTCCGTTGCTATTTGACTGGTCTCCCATATTTTCCGGACATTCCATCTACCTATAAAAAGTGTTGCTCTGGTTGTCAGAAGGAGCATTGGCCTCGTGGCTTCCGAAGGAACTCGGCTTTCACCATGAGGCGTCATAATTCTTCTAAATGAAGATCTTCTAACTCCCAGGACAGAGTTTAAATGGTTTGAATAATTTTTCTGGTTAGCGTGTTTTCGGTGAGTTAGACTTCTACGAGATGGGGTCGCTAACCCCATGCCCAAGCCTCCTCCTTTACCCGGGCTTGGGACCGGCAATAACTCTAGAAGAGCTACAGGCGAAGTTAATGAGTATTAGTAGTCGAACACGAATTCTATGTTTACACGATGACATGCAACTTTGAAATGTATGAGGTACATATACTCTAGTATGAGTGGTGTCTCGAGATACTACATCCTTCTGTGTAACGTTTCTACGACCACTTATTTGAAAATTATTTGTTGTCTTATCATGTATGTTATGCATAGTCTAACTAAATTTGTACACTGAAATCACTATCGATTTGCGAAGAATGTCAGTAGAGTGACGTGAGTAATGTGATTTAGTAGTATAAATCATTCATTTTTCATTCGAAATAAATTTATCAAGTTTGTTTCCATGTCGTCATTTTGATGTAAATCACTTGTTCAGTAGTCAGTGATTTGAAACGACATTCTAGCTGTTGTCAATCAAAGTGATCTTTATCGATTAACTAATCAGATTATTTGTGTATATTCTGTTCACAGTGGGAAAAATGATGATGTATTCATATACTTTACTGATCATGGTGCACCGGGTCTAATTGCTTTTCCTGATGATGAAGTAAGTGTATATCAGTGTTCGTTAGCATCTATAATTCGGTAATTATATCTTTCATCACGTGATTTTCGGACAACTTTGTGATGTAGATTAGATTATGTCTCCTTGTTTAATTGACTGATAAGGCTTAGCCTATGGAGTAGTCTGTAACGATTTACTCACAGATGATACTGATTCCAACTGCCATAAATCATATTTCAAGTCACTAGATCCACCAACCTTTTGAACTAGTGTTTTACCAAATACGTTGATAGTGTTCTAATGTATGTAAAAGAGAGTAAATGCTCAGTCACTTACTACAGTAGATTATTTTCGTCGGATGATAGTGAGTCGACAGTCAGAATCACGGTTCGTTCCATCTTGGTTAGCGATCAGGTGCACATAATCTGAAAGCTTCATTTGTCAATGCACATTGTGAACAAAATGAACAAAGGAACGGAAAACAACTAATGATTGCAGCAATCAACAAATCGATCCAATTTATCAATCAATCAGAAAAATTATGCACAAACATAAGAACAAAAATCAAACCAATGGGAGACACAACCGGAACAAAGGAGTAAACAATGACAAATTTAAGGTCAGCAAGAACCAATCATCATCGAGGTGTACAGGACAAGTTGTGAACCACATATAGAAAAATTCGAACACTTCACATCTACCTGAAGTTTGTGTTGATGATGTCGTTGAGAAGAACGATGAAAGTTCCACGACCAAACCATCCAGCTCAGAGAACAAAACTCCATCAATATGGATTCTAAAATGTTCTGAATACTGATATGTGGGCGAGAATGATCATGATTGGTTGTCTGCTTAGTCAGACATGTAGATAGTCTGACAGGTGTCAGATAAGTTATATATTCCCTTGTCCTTATTATTGTGAAACACTTGTTATTGATTGTTCATTGTTATGGATTGTGTCGGTTTTTATCGTGGAAATATATATTCACGTTGGGGTCAGGCTGGTTACGTGTTCTTGATCTGAGTTGTGTTGACGTCCTGTAGAATAGACACTGGGAGGGATCCAGTGTAAATAATCGTTTAAGGTAAATTAACGTCCCATACGTGTAAACGTGGAACCCAACCGTTATAACATTAGACGAAGTAAAACCAAGCGTTATAACAAATACATAATCAGTGACTTATGTATTCAGTCCCAACGAGATTGAAACTGTTATCTACCAATAACATTGGATGGTAATGATAGTTGTATATGTAGGAAAATGTAGATCATTACCGCACTGATCCAGTGGTTGTCGAGACAATGAAATTCTCCACATCCAATATTATGCTGTCATAAACGGGTAGGACGAACCATAGGTTTCTTCATACTACCACATATACACTGTTATTAGTTGGTGTATTCGTTCTTCTAATTTTACAGAATATGACTATCATTCCTATTCATTAAATTGTGGGAAAACGAATGGATGCAATCACTATTGTTTGGATCTTCATAACCGTTAATTAGGTTTGATATGTGTTGATTTTGGAAACTTAAGATCTTTGTCAACTTAGTCAAATACTCTCACAGTATGTGCATGATATTCACTTTGGAGTTATCAAGGATAATAATATATGTGTAAGAATGATTGAAAAGCGACTTATATAGGTCCTACTTAATTAATTCAAACTGAACTTCTGTTTATTTTGACTTAATGTTGCATAGTTTGTTGTTTAATATAACCATCATAATGTCACGTATATTGGGGAAGAAATCTATTTACTGTTTGTTTATTTATTTAAACACATAAACATAGGCACAAGAAAGCACCAAATAGATATGCGCCACATAAATCATTCGATTTATGTGAGAGCTGGGATACTGTCTGGGTTCCGAAACCGAAACAGCTGGTTTTCTTAGGGGGCCACACTCTGAGTTTTCGACCTAAACGTCTCATCCACAAGGCAGTGGAGCAACGTCGGGAGATGCAGTCCCTTGATAATCGGTCACCAACGATTGGTTCATACGCTATTTGTTCAATCAGGATCTCGGAGCCCATGTACACCGTTGATTTGGAATCAGGGTTCTCTAACTCCCCTAGGTGAACTCTTCGTGTCCATAAAACCCGGATATTCGCTTTTCGTCCTCTCGATTCCGTAGACAATACTCGTGGTGCGAGAAGGTAGTGAGCAGGACTTCTCTGGCAGTGGTTATATGCACGTGGCCATGTGTGAGCATTTCGAGAGTGAGAACTTACTCTCCCTACTCTCCATCGTACCAACGCATTTATATTGACTCTAAGTAACATATTCATTTTCCCATTAGTAGTTGATTGGAAAATCCTTGGTCATCTGATTATTATGATTACTTGAAATGACATTAGATAACTCTATAAAACATACACAATCATAATCATCATCATATTGATACACTAGATTCACCTTTATTAGTTTCAATTTTAGATACATAGATAATTTAAAAGGATACCTACTCAAATGGAGATGTTTAACTGTATTTACGTTTCGATTAATAAAGTTTTAAATAAAGATATGATCAATGACTTCTCATACAACGGAACCATAATTGCTGTCTCCTAATGAGACTTCAATTTCATCCAGTTAGTCGAGAATGACATGAAAATATACCCTGACTTGAGATCTGGAGGAAGATGAAGAGTGAATGTATTTACTCCACTTTAAATGAGTCTGAATCATGTCACTCATAATGCAAGTCGGCTATGTGTCATACATTTATAACAGAATAATCAATTCATCTTATTTCCTATGTCTGTATATTTCCTTCAAGTTATATGCCAAACGATTTATGGCAACGCTGAAATACCTTCATAGACACAAACGTTATTCAAGACTAGTGATTTATATCGAAGCTTGTGAATCAGGTTCCATGTTTCAAGGATTATTACCGTCGAATTTAAATAGTGAGTGCAATTTCAAATCAGTTCCTTTTTCACAACACAGATATAATGTCACTATTTAGCTCAGTTGACTATTATCTTTGGTGTATCATTTAATGTAACAATTTGAATAGTGTAGTGGAGGAGTTCACAAGAATAACGGGTAACGGTTTACACTTCATCAGATATGTCTACATGAGAAGTGAAATTTATCACTGTACAATTGACTGTTTGCATTCTTTAACTTAACAATATCGTCGTCAGTGGAAGTTTCATGAATACGGTTATGAAATTAACAGTGATTATGAAGCCATCAGTCGACAAATGTCCTAGGAAAAACTAAGAGCTCCAACATCAACATACTTCAATGTGACACATGTTAGGTGTGCATTGCATTACATTTCAAGTGGAAATATATGTATATGTTCAAAGTGTCTTATGGCTTGTATATTGAGTGAATGAAAACAGAGATGGAATGGACAATGTTTGTAGATGAAATACAACATAATAGTTTTGCCTACATTGATATTGTGAAGAGTCTATAGTTCAGCATTTCACATCGACGAAGATGTAGACATATGGATCATGACAATTTTGTTCTTTTCCATCAGTTATTGGCATTCTTTTAAGTAAATTCCGTTGTGAATTCAAGTCAACGCTCAGTAGACACTTGAAGAGGCACCGCGAATAGCTATATTATTGTGGATGAAATATGTGTGAACTGAAAGACTTCATTGGACATGTGAGTGGGATATGAATACTACAAGAATATCTCATCGCTTTGACGATGGAACCATGAACGTAGATGGTTGAATTTTCCCACTGGATACTTTAATGTGGATGGTATTATGGTGTGTCTAGATGTCGTTTGTAGAAAGTTCTCGACAGTTTTGTTCTATATTCTGTTGTGTCAATTATGAATTGTTCACTTCGTTTGATGCTATGCAAACCGTTTTGTAAGAACATATTTTAAGCACTCAGTTCTGTGAAATATGGTTAGTCGTTTATGATTCTCTAAGAAAGTCATAAAAGAAGGGTTGATCGTTGGGATGAAAAGAATTCTCAGAAGTGATGAATAAACTTGGTCATGAACAATAGGATCTCTAGTGTTGTTAGGAGCAACAAGTGAGGTTAAACGTAGGGTACTAGTTAAGTATAGCAAATCGACTTATGACGTAATGAATATTTCTCATTTGTGATGTTTAGTATACGTATTACGTGTGTCCGTCCAACGACTACCTAGTCGCGCGATGCTGCTTGTTGTAGGAGTAGGTTGGAAGAATGATAGGGACAGTCAAATTAAGACATGACATAAGTCCATGAAAAAAATGACCACTGAAATAAACTGAATAGGCGCGGATCTCTCGGTTAGGATTTGTGGTATTAGTGTGACCAATTGTTGGAGACTGTGTTACATGGCTCTTAATTGCTCGCGACCACACAACCTTACTCATATTTTTTCATCGCTTAGAATTTGAATGTGTAACTTTACATTTGAAAGAATTGTTCATCCAATATTTCCTCGACATTTTCCCTTTTACTTTACAGTTTACGCGACTACAGCTGCTAGTCCAACTGAATCTAGTTATGCTACATTTTGTGATGATCCAAAGATAGCTACTTGCCTGGCTGATTTATACTCATACGATTGGATTGTTGACTCACAAACAGTATGTTCTATACAAATTTGTATTTATATATACTTAACATACCTAATACAATATCAAATCACTCTAGACATATAATCAAATATAAGAAAGCTTTGGATGTTTACCATTTCGGAATAGTCCTAAGTGATGTGAATCACGACTGAACTGCTCTCAGAACTATATCGCATACACTAATTAATAAATGGAAGTTCACTAATGTAATCCTATTTAATGGTCGGTTTGAACAGATTACTTTTAAAGAAGCTCAATTTGATACAGGATACAAGCATGTGTAGTGACTCGTTTGTTGCACATATTAAAATAAAACACACTACAAGTCAGAATTTCTTTAGATTAAATGACTAGTTTCGACTTTCAAAGCTCATGCTTTGATTTTTATGCACACTTAGTCCTGTGTTTATTGGATACCACAGTCTAAACAATCACTTTTTGTTGTGTGATGACGGTGTTCGTAGAAAACACCTATTCAACTGTTTAGTTGATCCATGTATTTTTATGATGGATGGTATATGGTAGTGTGATGTCGAACAACAGTTGTTATTAACCACATTGTAGACTCGACATCAAAATAATGCCGGTTATGAGAGCGAAAAACAGTAGGCTTATATCCTAAGCATAGAAGTTTACTTAATTTTGGACAGACAATAAACTATGAATCTCGGTAGCTAGAACTGAGTTCGAACCCATACAGGCGGTGATGGAAGACAAGGAGACAAACTACCAATACACAACTTTACAATAATCCATATTCACTAAATTCTTTCATTTACTTATACATTAATCACTTTATTGAATATATTTAATGTTTTTAATATTTCTCTCCATTTTGAAGCACCAATTGACACGACGAACACTCGACCAACAGTATAGAGAGGTTAAGCGTGAAACGAATCTTAGTCATGTTCAGAGATATGGTGATACGGTAAGAACTTATAAAATTCATCATATATGACACTCTCAATTTGGTAATGACAGGCAATGTTACACTGCTAACTTGACAATCGAACAAGTACTGATAAAAACTGTAATACATTGTCATGCGCATACATGGGCGCCAGGATCCTGAAGGAAAAATGGAGTATGAACCAATTATTGGTCACCAGCTAACATGGGACTGCATCTCCTGACGTTGCTCCACTGCCTTGTGGACCAGACATTTGGGGCGTGGCCCCATAAGAAAATCACCTGTTTCGGTTTGGGCACCTGGGTACTATCTCAGCCCAAAAGTCGAATGATGTATGTGACGCACATCTGTTTGATGCCTCCTCGTACTAATACTTATTTTTAAATAAATAAAAAAATAAAAAATCCTGAATATTATTTTAACATTAAACAACAAGTGTCGGTGACAAAGAGAGGAACTACAATGGACTCATACCAAACACAGTATAAACGATGATTTATTAAACAATAATTAAGAGTACTAATGAATGCTCTTTTGATATTCATCAAACTAATAGGTTCATATCCACTTGGTATTGTTTGGTTTATATCTTCCCATTGATGTTTAGGACTGTAATTGATCAATATCTTATTGGCATATGTGCATACTGTGTATTGCATCGATATAGCCTTAATTCACAAGCATTATATGCAAAGATGGATATTGGCTAACTGTAGAATCCAGTTTGACGTTCGTTTTGTCCTATTCGGGACTCGTCAGCTATGAACATCAACTCTGAGGTGCAGGTACATCCAACTGACGAGACCCGAATAGGACGAAAAGCACGTCCTTGATTCCATTGCTAGTCATTATTCATCTTTGCATATAATGGTAGGTTTATTGTTTCTCAAATAGAAATGAATTCTTTAAATTGATCTGACTTTTAAATAAGAAATGGTAGACAATTGTGATAATCAAATTTAATGCGATTTGTTTACTTGTTTTTTGATAGAATATGGGTAAATTACACGTTGGTGAATTTCAAGGAAGTCGAAACAAGGATTCACTTGAGAATGGTGAACCTCCAATGAAGGTAAATCATACTTAATTAATGTGTAATTACTTCCATAAAACTGCTAAGTGTTTATGATTAACTTATTGTAGTTGAGCTGCTAACAGATTGCTCACAAACTCCATGTTACACATGGATATCATTTACAGCTGAATAATGTCTTGATTATCAACTAGTGAAATTAATAAGGTTTTCCACTGAAAATTTCCATCCGATTTCTTTCAAATACTACTTGAGACACTCAACTGTTTGGAAGAAAATACGCTGATGATGAACTGAGGGTAAGATCAATTGAATGCTTGTTTGAGTGAATGATGACGACATAAGAAACTGATTTTCACGAACAAGATATTAATTGAAAACAAATTTGGCTGTTAACCACAATACCATATTGTTTCAGTTAGGTGTCAGAATACAGAAAGACGATATCTGACCGACGGTTACGATTAATTAATATCTTATGGTGGCCCTTAATCTGACTTCGGGTTGGCTGTGTAAATGTTTGTTATTTAAATATACATATCGTCAATTCTCTTATATAATCAACTTAAATCGCGTTAGTGAATAAGGGAATTAAAATAAGTCGAATACGAGGAAGAATTACAAATACGTATATTTCATACAATCGTTGATCCAGACGAAAGATCGGAGGAGCGAAGAAAAGAAAATGAAGCGAAATGGTGCACAGTGGAGGCGTGTGAGCCAACTCCATTTAATCAAGTGTTGATCAATATTTATTGTCGCACAAAAATAAGTTACAGATATGTAATGAATAGGATATGAAGTGAACACATATACCCTCATCCAAAAACGAACAATTGACAAGGTCAAAATGCGATTCAAGAAGAATGAATAAATAAGTCTGTCCAGAAGCTATAATAATCCATGTGGGCCTAATATAGTAACCGACACTACAATCTAGCAAAAACGCAGCACCATTGAAACATCGCTGATCAACATAATATGATCATGGAAACAATGAGTGAATGAATAATGTTCCTTTATCCAAATGTCGAATGCACAGTCCGATAAAGTCACCTAGACTATTCGTCAGTTTGGAACAATGTTTCAAGTAGAAAAAGTTTCGACTACATTGATCAGCAGACTAGGTTGTATTTAATACAGTCATTTCCTATCAACAAAATTGATGCCTGAAAATGTCAATGTTTTGTCGATCGAATTGAAGTTCCATAATTTAAACAAACACTAGATAAACATCTCTATGTTTTCGTTGTCATTTAGCCGAAAGATTTTGTCGCTTCACGTGATATTCCATTGTATACTCTACATCGTCAAATAATGATGACCAATAATGCAGAAGACAAAAACTTACTAATGAAAATTCTTGGTTTGAAATTGAAGGTGAGGCGTTTTTTTCCCCTGAGTTTTACTTATTTAACTCTGTTAATGTATCCAATTTTTTTCCACTTATGGTTACATGATTTTCGAGACTGGTTTTCAATATCTGCAAAACCTATCACTATTACACATTTTATAGAATTTCTCTCCTAGAATTATCACAATAGTCTGGACATAAATATTCAACTGTATAGACACTTCTAACCCTACTTTTATATATATTGCCTTTCCAACGAATCGACCTCACTGAAAACTCTTATGGTAATGATACTATTTTCAAGTGGTAGTGTCTTCCCGAAGTTGATGTTATTAATCGATCTCTCATGACTAACTTGCATGCATGCCATTTAGTCATAAGTGTTGATTAAGTTTGGAAGGACGATTAACAATGGTATACAAGATGAACATGTTGTTTTAGTTCAGACTTATCGGGTGTATTTACCCTCATTTCAGTGTTGATAATTATGTACAAACTTGAACCAGGTATACTTCGGTAAACATACCCATCGTATTATCCACGAGGTACCAAGTCTAGATTTCTGATAGCTGGGGTAATGGGCACGAATTCAATTTTTAAGTGCTTGTGTCTTCCCATTGTTAACAGTATTGTTTCTCATTTGTAAATAAATGAATTCATATCATTGTGTTAAGTACAATGTTCCTGTCTGATTCGAATAATTTTTTCTTGTAGAAAGCGTAAACTATATCTTGATAAGTTTAACAGACTGTTCAGTATTTCATTACGTAACCGTGTGATTTCAAAGAAGAAGTATGATTTCAAAATTTGATTCATTGAATGTCCTGTAGCGGTAAATAAATCCCCGAAGTCAATAGTTCTGTAAGTTTTCGACATTAGATGCTGACCACATTAGTTTTAATGGACTCACCTAGCTGAAGGCACTCGGTCATGCATCCTCACCAGATCACGAGTGGGAACGCCGTGCTCAACTTCTCCTGCAACCGTTAGCCAATTAGATCATTCATTTCTCGGTATACTGATAGCCTATCAAATATATTTTCGAACCTACTCGTTTCTGTCTTTTAATCTCACTGTATGGGTACGATTCATTTATAGAAGGTGTTGTTGGTTAATGTGTTGTCAGATTACAAATATCTGTGACATCTTCAGTTTCTTCAAAACTTTGATTACTACTATCAAATTTCACAGTAGTATGAAATATACAAAGTGAATCAACCTAATGCAAGTACAAAAAATAGCTTGATACATTCCATAATACTATTCTAACATCTGATCAGTTCACCAGATTCAAAGTGCTTTTATGAATACTTGATTGATGTTAATTACTCTTATGTGAATGATTTCACAGATATGTTACCGTTTTATTTATAAATGTGTAAAGCATAACATAACTATGAGTTTTTTTGGCATCCACTTATTTAGAAATGAAACCAGAGATCTATACAGTAATAAATCTCGTCGTAAATGATTATCATTCTCTTCTCACCAATAAGATCGGCATAAAAAGCCATTTAGGGTTGTTTAACTTCTCTTCATTTATTTTGTAGTATTTCTTGATTGCTGACAGACATTTTCATTCTAGGTCTTCTGTAGAGATTGTTGAACTTCATTGTTTACATCATGGACTGATACTAATAAGACATGAAAACTATTGTATGAAAAATCAGTGGTTTGAAGGTGAGGGGATCACACAGGGATGTAATGATTAAGGGTTCGATTTTTCCACACTGTCGAGAAGTCCACATTAGAATGAAACAACTTTCGATTGCTTCTTTCTTTATAAAACAGCTATGTAAGAGAGATCAACCAGTGATATGAACTAAAACACCGAACATTCTGCCTTCACCTGTTTGACTTTTACAAGATGCTAATATTGATACGTTTGTTCCAAGTTAAAAGATTTTTAAGACAACTCATTCGTACCATTCACAAACTCTGCTCGTATATTATGTATACTTATCTATCTACCTTTTAACAGTGTTTTAATTTGATTTTTGACAGAGAAGAGATTTCATTGAAGATACTATGAAATTAATAGTGAAAGTAATGAATAGTGAAAAAAAACCTATTTCCAAGGCAACTATCGATCAAACGTTGGATTGTACAGAATCTGTCTATGAACAGTTCAAAAGTAAATGTTTCACACTGCAACAGGTAAATACTTTCATCTGAGTGGACCAATCTTCTAAACACGTTCCTCCTAATTTATCTCACAAACTCACTTCCATATGTTGATAGACCCTTTATATTTTATTGAGAAGCGTACACTTTTCTATATAGGTTGACATAGTCATGAGTGAGTCACATGTGGTCTGCTATTTTGGCTTTCACTCGAATTTCACCAGATGAGAGATCTTAAATGTTTAAACAATGTTGACAAAGAAACCTAGAACGTCAGTCATTCTGTTAGTAATAGGTGTATAAAGAAGAGAACTAGCATGAAAAATTAATTTTCATTTAAAATGATGTCAGCTTTACTCTATCATAAACACTCAATGATTCCAGGTCGGTTTGTTTGAAACGATGAGTTACTGAATATAGATTCTAAAGTGAAAACACAGCTGACAGAAATAAATTTACAGAGGAGGAAGGAATTTGAGTTACATGTACAACAAAGTGTTTGTTATTATCTATTTCATTTAGATTGACAGCAGAAGTGATAAGATAATGAATTTTACTTGACATTCCTCAAATACAGTTCTTCTGATCTGAGACCTGTTTGCTTCAGCCTATACAGATAACATATTTATGTTAAGCACTGAATGTGACAAGCTTCAGAGCTTGCAAAACATATGTCTGAAGATTTCTGTGTCTGTAAAACATAATAACAGTCTTGGTTGGACGACAAATAATCAACTAAATAAATAGATTGCAGATTTCGCTCACATAATCAACCATATCAACAGCGGTTTTCAATACGACTTATTTGAATTAATAATACAGCCAAGAAAACAATGAAACAATTGTTGTTTTCGGATTACACAACAAAATGAATATTAGCCTCATACATTTCCAACAATCTGATAACACATTGTTAAAGGATTTATATATATGAAAAATAGACACCAAGAGAACAATATGAAATATGGACGTAAAACAGAGACAAAAAGAAAACTGATGTGAATGAAACAACTGTGAATAATAAATGAATATTTCCAAGATAGGTTTAGCAAAGTACCAATTGTTTCTGAACATATGTAGCGGGGTGTCGAGTTGAGATTAACTATGAACACCGCTACCAAGAATCACGTGCCAAGTGAATCAGAAGGCGAAGGTTGAACGTGACCAAAGAAACCCATAAAATCCCCGAGAAGCCAAATATTAGAAGGCAGTTAATGGACCAAATCGAGATATATATTTGCTGGCGATCTCGTGGTATCGAAAGGATACCGAGATCGTGCCAGGATACAAGCTTGGTTACAGAACGTAACCGAATTCGCGCGAAGTCACAATCAAAAGTGTAGGAATAAGAATGGAAGCACAATATAGCTGTCATTAGCACAGTCAAACAAAAGCACATTAAAACAAGCACTGGTACAGTTGGTTATAATAATAATTGTTTTTATTAAACCAGTCGTGTTCTCGTGATAAATGTGAGTCACTACACATACAGGAAAATATTGAACATCCGTAGGGCCAAAGTTCAAAACAACCTACTTATTCACCTTTGTACCACCAGGAATTCCTTGTTAAGATCAATCTCATGACCATCATCAACTATACGTTAAGCAACGAACGGAGATGAATATTTGTTATTTGCTCTCATTGGATTGTTTAGTTTTACTTGTTTTGCCGTTCATTTTGACACATGTTTTGGACAAGCCGCATTGGTGTACTTCATAACGACTGTGAATTTCATCATCTAACTTTAGTGATAATATACTCAGTATTTCCTGTTAGGATATTCAGACTTAACACAACATATCTGATTAAAATTTAAAGAATCTTTTCTATTTGAAATGACTTCAGGCTCCAGAAGTTGGAGGACACTTGTCCACTCTTTACAACTATTGTGCAGAAGGTTATACAGCTGAAACGATCAATGAAGCAATCATAAAAGTTTGCAATTAAATCAAGATTAATTTGTCAGTGTGATAAATTTTATCAATGTAAATTTTCAAATAAATGAGTCTTTTCTCAAAAACCAGCCTTCAATCTCTTTAACTAACTATAAGGATGTTTAGCTCATTGAACTGGATCACATGATTGTTAGCCATCCGGTAAGTTTTCAGATATTTACGTTCAACTCGAATTCATAAGAGATGACCTCGTGGTGATAGTTAACCTAGATTAACCAAAACTAATTCTTCAATCTAACCAATAGTCTTGTACAAAATGTGCAACTCATTTGGACATTACATATAAGCGAACAATATTATTTTCAATTAGATTGTCATCAGGCTTTACTCTAATATACATGAATATTTATACGAAAATGTTAAACCAATCAACGCAATCTGGGTCATTAATCACAATGAAATAGAATAAGTCACTACACATAAAATAGGTAAAAGTACAACTTGATAGTAGTACGAAGACAGGTGAACAGACAGTGGTAAGAATAATAAAATACAATAACAAAACCCTTATCAATAGTTAATCTTTGGCAATAGAAGGTCAAACAAACATGAGTAAATAGACTAGGAATAGTAATCACAAAACATTAACGTCATTACGTAATAAGATGTGTGTAAATAATTAAATAGTGAAGAATAGAAAGTGGCGGAAAATTACAAACAAATAGTGGATGTGGCAATAAGGTTAATGATAACAAAATGGAATAAAATAAATAATGATAATAATAAAATTTAAAAAATATCGTTAGTTAAGTTATAACTGAACATGGGAGGGATAGGGGTTACGTATTTCTTCTGTTCACATAAATTGGGGTTATATGTACGAATTCCAATGGCTTCAGCTATATGTAGGAGGCGGGAACGAACTCCGTCGGGAAATGATGGAGGTATACGATAGATAACTCGAAATGATTTCGATTTATCTACAGCATGACCGCTATCAATGAGATGTACCAAGATAGAACTGTGAGTAGATTTTATCTGGCCCTTTATGTACCAAGTTGGTAGATGTTCATTCATTCACTGGTTAAGTTGCCTGGTAGTACGCCCTATATAGCTATCTCCATAGGAGCAGCTGAATTTGTAAATGCACATAGAAGAGGCCAACTCAGGTAACTTATCCTTCGTTTGAGTGAGTAGACATCGCTGGTCGACAAGAGAAGGTCAACGCAAGATTGGCTGCGTAGAATGTCCTGGTGATTACTTTAGTTAACCTATATTTCAGAGTGTCACTAGCCACATCCCCGTTGAATTGTACTTTCATGTATAAAGGTTTCTTACGAACAGTCGAAATCTCCGACTTCTTTATTACGTCATACATACAACTCAGTTGAATCAAGGATTGATGAGAGTTATCTGCTCATCAATACCGACTGACTACATAAATTTCTTAAACCAGTTAATATGTCATTGTAGGAAGAGTGTTTTATGCTCTATTCTATGGGTGCATTTTAAAATAATCGTTGGTTCAACGGAGTACAAACATATTACCTGGTTTTGCCACTTATATGCAAGCCTATGAATCCAGCTGGTCCCGTTGAGAAAGCTGTATTTAGCGCACTACTAGACAACTGAGCCAAAGAGTTGGTGAACATCTCCCTAGGAAAAGGTACTGTCAAGAAAATATGCAGCTCGGTTCTGTCACACTTGACCGACAGCGGTCATGCAGTAGACAGAAACAGGTCACTTAAGGTTAAGTCTCGAGTTAGCAATGAAACGAGGGGTTGCCCAACGATAGAGTATTGCGACCCCCCGTTTGTAAGTGTAAAGCAATCACACAAAACAAAATAGGTCTTTACGACTTGGAATCTCTATCATAAGAAGTTCTGTGGCGCCTTAACCAAAACACTCACTAGTGCCTGTGAATTTCAGTTCCCATCAAGGTATTCAGTGAAAAACGTAGTAAATGTTTTAAAGAATTATGAAACACGCTTTTATGTTGAATTTTGATTTCCATAACGAGCACAACTCACTTTGAAATCTTATTTATTATTTCATTTTTTACTATTTACCCTAGTGTCTTTATGGCGGTTTAGCCATATTCTGACGATCGAGTCAAAGTGGTGATGATGTCACAGGTATTCAGTGTTTGACAACGCTTTTACCACCAACAACTTCTAATATATTTCGTTCCCACTCGGAGAAATCAAAAGACAGAGTCGAGGAGATCGGAAGAGTTTATTTGGCGATGACCAATATATCGGAATTCTCTGATCTAATCTGGCTAGCGATTGCAGTAGATGTTGAGCACAGGGTTACCACACGTGATCTGGTGCGGATGCATGACCGAGCGCCTTCAGCTAGATGAGTCCACTAAAACATATGGTCAGCATCCAATGTCGAAAACTTAGAGCTATTTATTTTGGGGATTTATTTACCGCTACAGTGGCTAATTAGGATTATTTTGAAAAACCTAGTAACCGGGACTATGAAGAAAGACAGGGTATGCATGACAATAATAATGACATTTTAATTTAATATCTAAATATGGTAAGAGTCAATTCAAATGTGGACGACTGACGTGAAGTTGAAGAATAAACGCCACTTTTTCCTTCAGTCAAAGATATCATTGAATAAGGTTAGTTGAGAAAATATTCCTACAAAATCCTGTAAAAGCCTGAACTTCCTTTTCACCAGACAAATCCATCCAATGTTGTTGTGAACGATTTAAGTTCATAATTAATAGTGAATTGGGAACAACCAGCATAAAAGTCATTATTAGTCCATATTGCTATCGACTTGTAGATAACGCAATCTGTGATTAGTCAATTTCAAAGTGTACATCAAAGTGTACGACAACTCAATTGAAGCTCGGTTCTTCAACCTCATCGATAACTTGGGCTTATATGAAAATGTGAGGTCGGCAACTCGTCAGACACCATCGCGCTTAGACTGTGTATTCACTAACGAAGAATTCCTAGTCGACAACCTCTCAATCCTGGCTCCTCTGGGAAAGAGCGATCATGCCGTCATAGCCTTCAGTTTTGTCATCAAAACTAAGCTAAGGTATCCCAACAATAATTTGTGTTGGAATTTTAAACGGCTGAATGTTCCAACTCTACATGACTATCTACAACAGGTGGCTTGAGATGTTCACCCTCAACTCGATGTGGACGGTCATTGGGACTTCTTACTGCACACGCTCTTATGTGCTACAAACCATTCAGTTCCTCAAACGGTTCCCAAAAGCTGCAAGCCACCTACAGTAATCAAGAACCGTACCCTTCGCCTGCTAAGCCGCAAAAAGTACTGTTGGGCGGAATACAAACGAACTGATAACGACGGATAGTACAGGCAATATAAACTTATCAGGAACATATGCACGAAGGCTATAAGAGGAGACAGGCTTCAGTACTAGACAAAGCTTATGGACAAATTTGCCTCTAACCCTAGAAGCCTGTTCCGTTATGCAGCCTCTCTTCGTCAAGCCAAAACAAGAGTTTCTCAACTGCTAGGTCTTAACGGCCCGACCAACAACGATGGCGACGCCGCTAACCTTCTGGCGGCACATTACTCTCAAACATTTCAACCGGCTGACACCAACTTTATTGACGACAGTCTCATCTGCAATTCCACAGGACTTTCTAAAGTGGACCTAAGCGCTGACTTGGTGTTCCGGAAATTGCAGCACTTAAGACTAGACACTTCTCCTGGCCCGGATACGGTTCATCCTGCCATACTGAGGGAGGCAGCCTCAATCCTGGCAACACCGCTTAGCGTGATGTTTTCACACTCGCTTAGCCGAGGCAAATTACCGGAAAATTGGAAGTTGGCTCACATCACATCAATTTTCAAAGGTGGTCGACGCAATGAACCTTCAAGTTATCGGCCGGTGGCTCTTCTGTCATTACCTTCAAAACTCATGGAGTCCCTGATATGCGACAGTTTAAATGACTATCTACTGTCCTTAAATTTCTTCTCACCCCAACAGCATGGTTTCAGGAAGGGTTACTCTTGTATAACCAACCTGCTGACTGCGGTGGACAGATGGACAAGCATCCTCGATTGCAAGGGAAAGGTTGATGTCATTTACCTTGATTTCTCAAAAGCTTTTGATAAGGTTAACCACTTGTGTCTTATCAACAAGCTCAAGCGACTAGGTATCAAACCACCCCTAATCGATTGGCTTACCTCAAACCTGAAAAATCTACACTTTATGGTTAGGGTTAATTTCACTTTATCTCAAGCTATGGAATGTCCTAGTGGGGTCCCCCAGGGCTCAGTACTAGGGCCTCTTCTCTTCTTGACCTACATAAATGATCTTCCTCAACAGGTAACGTCAGACTTATTGCTTTTTGCCGACGACGTGAAACTTTGGAGAGAGATACGCAACCAAGACGATAAACAGGCACTTCAGGAGGATCTGACTCGACTTCAAAGTTGGGCAGACGATAACAGACTTACCTTTAACACTTCAAAGTGTAAAGTAGTCCATCTGCGACATGTCGCAAACTACAGTTACAACTTAGGAAACTCCTCTCTAGTAGTATCCCAAGTCGAAAAAGATTTAGGAGTCCTGGTGCCCTACGATTTAAAGTCTTACGCTAACTGTGACAAAAATGCCTTCCGAGCAAACCTTGCACTGGTAACGTTGAGGCGCATTTTTAAACCAGTTTGACGGAAGAACTTTCCACACAATCTTCAATAGTTTCATCCGTCCCCACTTAGAGTACGGAAACATAGTACTCCCCCCTCACTCCAAAAGGACATGGTCACTTTGGGGCGTATCCAACGGCGAGCCACGAAATCAGTTCGAGGACTCAAATCTGAGCCTTACGAATAACGCCTCCGTTCACTAGACCTTTACCTATTAGAGTATAGGCGTTTTAGAGATGATTTATTAATGGCTTATAGTATTCTTAACACTTCTGGACATCCTCTTAAACACCTACTTAAGCTTAGTTCGAACAATAACCTAAGAGGGAACACCCAGAAACTGGAAACACAACATAGCAAGACGGAATGTAGACACAACTTCTACTCCTTAAGAGCTGTCAAAAGCTGGAATTCGCTGCCGGCCGAGCTAGTCCAAGCGACTTCTCAGGAGTCCTTCAAGAGGCAACTTGACCTTTTCTTAAGGACGAAGGACAGCATCACACTATGATTTACCAATTTCTTTCCCTCTTTTATTGTTAACATACCTAGGTTCCTGCCTGGAGGATTTGGTGATCCCCTGCTACTAGACACGGAAGCCTGTTAAGCGAAAGCTTCTTCTATTCCGTCCACAACCATTTGAACCATTTGAACCATTTGAAGTTTGTCACTAGTGTGGGTTGTGATTTTACTTCAGAAGATTGCTTGGGTATTCTCTGAGACACGAACTAGAAGGAAAAACTCAAACAGCCTTCGATTGTTAGATTCGTTGGCTATTAATTCGGTTAAAACAATCCTGTCCAAGTATGTAGGCACGAATAAATGTGACTGTAAAGCTAATTATTCCATGATCACAGACTTTGTGACAGAACATTACACTTTTTAAGTAAACTCATCCAGTGTACGACGTTAAGCTAACCCAAAACTCTAGAGGACATTGGGTTGATATACTGCCACCAGATACGTTTAAGACATTAAATACCAAGCCCTTTTTACCATAAGACTTCAATGGCAGGTTTGGTGACGAGTTTTTTAGTTAGGTTAAGCAACTTGTAACGGTGAATGTGATAATTTGAACGGAGCAGAATAAATGTTCCTAAAATTACTTTGTCAACCCCTTCCTATTGTTTCCTAGTGTGAAAGAGTCATTTATCCTAATAATTGCTTGTCAGACCAAGTAGAGAGAATCTAAAGTATATTGAAGCCAGATTACAGGTTTATTATGGTTTTGCACTGTGAAATCATTTCGTTGGAACTAATGCATTCTTACTGAATCTCAACATGTGGAGGTTAAAAAGTCCTGAAGCAAATGCTTCTGTAAGTCCTCAATATTTAATACTGACATCATTAATTCTAATGGACACGTCTAGCTGAAGGCGCCCAGTCACACATCCTCACAATATTACGAGTGCTACACGTTTTCTTCAACCGTTAGCCAGCTTAGATTAAACGCCTGCCGACATATCGATAGTCTTTAAATATATTTTTGGACCTATTCATTTTTGACTCTTGATGTAACTAGGTTGGCACACTTCGATTATAAAGGTGCAGCTGGTTAAGGCGATGTCAAACTTCGAATAACTGTGGCGTCTTTAAACATTTCTAATCTTTGCTATTTCATCTCAAAGTAACAATCATATAACCATCATCCGTTTTTCCTTTCTTGAGTTGATCATCTTAAGTGGTATCCTAAAAAAATTTATAAATTAAGAACAAGTCGCTTGGATGTACTGTTTTATTTTTTTATTGTTCTGTAGTTAGCATATTCTCATGAAAACAATTATCGATTCCTTCGCACGTTTATAAAGAAAGATTTCGTTTTCTTGGTACTGTTGGTAGGATTGCTATAGTCCACTGAATCCTTTCTGAATAACGCCGAATAACGGCTAAGGATGCTAAGTTTTGAATAGTGATATATGTATTCCTTCGAAACTCAGACAATGCTATGAAAATAATGTGGATTTTTCCTTGAAAATAACTCACTGTCGTTAATCAAAATAGAAACATTTGTATCTCAAGACGGATTTGTGGATCGGGATGAATATTTCAAACATTTAGATCACTCATATATTCTCTGCTAGAACTGTATCGATGAAAAATGGCTTGAACAATCATTATTATCTTCTATTCGTGCCTCGTGAAATTTTGTTTTATTATCAAGAACGCTATCATAACACGTACGCCTAATCCTAAGGGACAAGTATTTCTTCTATTCGATACAGTTAAGTTTGGCATATTGGACATACTGCGCTTTTGACCTTGATAATATTAACAGGGTGGCAATACAAAAATCTATTTATACAATGTCTGTTTATGCGCGCCGTTGCACTGCTTGTCTTTGTAGAGTCAAAAGCTCATGTTGTGATAGACGAAATGGCGTATCATTTATAGTTCATAGAAATGGAGATACATTCAACCCGGGGAGACGCGTTTTTATCAATCAGAGACTAGCTCTAACATGGAGCTCATTCATGGAACAGGTGAGGAAGCAGTTGGGACAGTATGTTCCTGCTATCCGTTGTATCGTATCACCAAATACGGGCACTAAGATAGAAAGCGTTGGCGACATAATGGAGAATCATAGGTACGTAGCAGTACCAAGGGGCGAACCTCTAAAACTGTTAGAGTAAGTCACAACTTTCACTAAAACATGCTTCATGATATCGATAAATGGATGTTATTATTCATGTCAGCTCGGCAGCATGTGGTTGAATGCCACATCTGCGTTTCATTATGTAGGGTGTTTTAAACATTTTAGCGAACTTTGTCTTAGAAATCTTAAGTTTTAAATCGAGAAAGCTATGTAGTGAGTAATAATTTTGGCAAATTTAAAAAAATTGTCCTTACTAAAGTTTCATTATTTAGTGCTAATACGCCCGTCAAGGTAAGACTACCAGCTTAATAACGCCATCAGTATTAAGTAATGAAACATCAGTAAAAATGACTTGTTTAATTTTTTCAACTGTATAGAAATCGCCGATTTTCAATAATAAGTAATGTCAATTTCCAGTGTTTAGATTTTTAAAAGCGTTTACTTTGCAAATTACTGTAATTTTAACATTCAGTCTTTAGATCTTTACTAGTGATGGTCGGAGGTCTTCTGACCAGTATTAATCCATTCATTTTGTAGCATCATAGAGGTCTAACCCCTCTTGAATGTATCCAAATAAGGTGTTGATATTATGTGTTCTGGTGAGGCATTCCAGTAATTCACCATTCAGTGTGAAAAGACGATCCCTAGATGTATATGATTTGATCCCTCTTTTTGAACTTTTTTAGAATGTCCTTTCAAATGGGCAGTTCTAAATGGAAGGAAAAGATAAAATATATCAAGGTCATCATTCAGAATACGGTAAGATAGTACTAGATTGCCTCATAACCCGCAGTAAGATAGTGAAAATATGTTGAAGCATCTAAGTATGTCTTCGTAAGATAGGCTAGAGTGGCCTTTTACAGTTTTAAACCCTCGCCGTTCAGCATTTTCTAGAACATTCACCTCACACTTGAGACGAGGATTTTCTGCTTGAATCCTATTCTCCCAAAGAAATCTCACAAAATTCGGGTACAATACTGCGAACGTTTCTTCATCTAAGTAGTGACATAACTTACGAATAGCCGGTAAGACCCTAAGCCTTTGTAGTGCCAGCCTTGCAGTTACTCGTTACTTATAATAACTCCGCGATCTTTGTAGTCCGTTGCTTTAGGTAACACAACTCTACACATTATGTAGTGATATAAACCGTTGCATTTATTCGTCCGAATCACCACATTCTAGCCAGAGTTAACTTTTGGTGACCTATTTGAGATTATTACCAAATCACTACTGGCTTCGATTATGTAACGTGAAACCAACTGAATTTCTATTCTTATATTTAGTAATATTCGATCAGCTAGACCCATTTTGATTCACATTTTCTACTCTAAAATAATACTTTTGCTTTGAGTTCACCATACCATACCTTAAGCACAGTTTGACTGAAACCGGAACTGCAGTTTAAAACATGCAGTTATTGTGGGTTTTGCGCTCTTATGAAGATTCTGAAACCTACAATAGTTGGATGTCTATGCCGATCTACGGGTTTTGGTCATAGATTACCATGTTTCGGATTAATTTATAGTAACACTAGAGGAGGGTGATTTTAGCATAATCGAAAAGTGTTGGTAGTCGGAACTTATCGACTTTTCAGCACTTTTCCACCTCATACATTCAATAAGTACATACTAAACTATCAATCCAAAATGCCTAAATTATTCCATAATAGAACATCCTCATTGTTATTGTGACCAAAAACCTGCAGTTATCTAAACATTGTATAAGTCGTCTTCTGACTGGTTGATAAGTCGCGTGATAGAAAAGCCAGACATCAAGGTCATAACACCTTTAAAACAAAGAACGGAGGAATCACAATGAATGTTATGCACCCATCAATGATATTTATTTACTATTTATTTATTTAAACACATAAACATTGGCACAAGGAGGCGCCAAATAGATATGCGCCGCATAAATCATTCGGTTTGTGTGAGGACTGGAATACTACCCAGGTGCCAAAACCGAAGCAGGTAGTTTTCTTAAGGGGCCACACAAGGCGGTGCAGCAATTTTAGGAGATGCAGTTCCATGGCAGCCGGTGACCAACGATTGACTCATACGCCATTTGTTCCTTTGGGATTCTGGAGCCCATATGTACCATCGGTTTGGAATCAGGGTTTTCCAACTTTCCTATATAGGCCCTCCGTGTTCACCGACCCAGTTAAAGCATTGGGCATCCGCTCTTCGTCCTCTCAATTCCGTAGACAACACCCATGGTGCGAGAAGGTAGTGAGTAGGACTTCTCTGGCAGTTGTTGTATATACGTGGCCATGTGTGAGCATTTCGAGATAGGGGGGCTGACGTACCACAGCATTTGGGGGCACCAGTAACAGCAATGACGACGACAAAGAACAGTTTTGCCAGGGGCTAAAATCAATCATATCGAAGTGACCAGGAAACGACCTGAACGTCCTTATGGGAGATCTAAACGCCCAAGTTGGAATGGACAACACCAGATATCAAGATATCATGGGACGATATAGACTAACTGGGAGAAAGGAACAAGAATGGTGACAGATTTGTAGATTTATGTTCACTCAACATAATCATAAGGAATGGATCTCTATAGAAACCCTGGACAATGTTCAAGAAAGGACGAACAAGAAGGCAACAATTAACAACAGTTCGACAAGAACAGAGAAAGTCAAGGCACAATTTGAATAAACAGGAGTAAACAGTCGAGTGAACAGGAGCTTTAGAGCCGACAAGTAAAAATGCGTGAAAGACCTATCAACGACAGTAGGATATGCTGCGAGAGGAGTAACCACTAAACAACTATATGACACAACGAAAAAACTGGAAGGGAAATATAGAAAACTAGAGAGACCAGTCAGCGACAAACAATGCAAGATATTCATTGAATTTCAAGATCAGCGGAACAGATGGGTAGAACACTCTGAGGAACTCTTGAATAGACCAGCGTCATTGAATCCACCGGGTACCGAAGCAGCACACACAGACTTTCCAATAGCTTTCACTCCACCAACGATCGAAGAAATCAGAATAGCCGTCAGACAAATCAAGAGCGGGAAAGCAGCAGGACCTGACAACATACCAGCTGAAGCACTGAAGTCAGACATAGAAGTAGCTGCAGAGATGCTCCATGTCTTGTTTAAGAAGATTTGGGAGGAAGGAAAAGCGCCACCAACAGACCGAAAGGAAGGAAACCTCATCAAGATACAAAAGAAAGGAGATCTCAGCAAGTGTGAGAACTACAGAGGCATCACACTATTGTCAGCACCAGGAATGGTTTTCAAAACAATGTTGCTGAACCGAATAAATGACTCAGTAGACACCAAAAATCGGGGTCAAAAAACCGGAATCCATGTTGATCAGTGGTGCACGGATCAAACTGCGGCACTACGAATCGTCAACATCATCCAGAATCCATACGACGGACTACAGTGTAAAGTCGTGCATGGAGCACAGCTGAAAGATTTATTCCAAGTGAGGAAAGGAGTCAGACAAAGATGCTTACTATCCTCATTCCTCTTTCTTGTGATGGTCGAGTAAATTTTGAAGACCTCGACATCTGAGGAAAAGCAGAGAATACAATGGACAGCTCAGAACCAATTAGAATATTTGGACTTCGCAGATGACCCAGCTTTCCTATCCAATACACACGAACAAATGAAGATGAAGACAACTAGTGTAGTAGCAGCCTCTGCATCGGTAGGCCTCAACATGCAAAAGAAAAAAACCGAAATCCTAAAATACAACACAGCGAACACCAACTAAACCAATCACGCTTGATGGTGAATCTCTGGAATGTGTGGGTAGCGTAATCGATTACCTCGATGTAGCCTTAAGTCACAAGCATCGAAAGCGATGATGAATAGTGGCTAGCAGTGGAATCTAGGACACGCGTTACGTCCTATTTAGAACGCTACTGTTAGTCGCTATCCATCTTTGTCTATAATGCTTGTGACTTAAGGCCATATCGAGTCCATATGAACAGTATGCGCGTATGCCAATAAGAGACTGATCAGTTACAGTCCTAAATATCAATGGGAAGATTTAAGTAAACAATACCAAGTGAATTTAAAACTTCACCCCATTGCACAAGCAAGTGAATATCAGGACTCAGTAAGTAAGTGGATAACGCGATGGTGTTTGAAGCGAACGGCACTACGTTCGAGTCCCAGAGTGAACATCAACACTGAGATGCAAGTACATCCATCTGACAAGTCCCAAATAGGATGAAACGCATGTCGTGGATTCCACTGCTAGCAACTATCCATGTTTACAATGATTTGATCTAGAAAATTTATTTACATTTAACTTCATATCATTTTTTTCTCTAAAACTTGTTTTTTTTACAGTTATCAGAAAACTGATGAAAGGTCACGATATGCATCAAATCATCATACATCATCGGAATTATTCGAAAAGGTATAATCAATAAATTAGCATAATTCTTTTCTCAGAATGGGTTTTGTGGAGAGTTTTAGAAATTTCACAGGTTGAAATCATGAGTCGATTGAAGCTAGACCACTATGGAAACCCTGGAATCACTGGACGGCCATTTCGTCCTAGTAAGTGCTCGCGCGCGAAGCCAGTAGGTCCTGGGTTCGAGTCCCGCGTGGTGCGGGATCGTGGACGCGCGCTGCTGAGTCCCATACTAGGACGAAACGGCCGTCCAGTGCTTCCAGGGTTTCCATGGTGGTCTAGCTTCAATCGACTCATGATTTCAACCTGTGATAATTCTTTTCTCCCTTTTTAAAATGATTTTTCTACATGTGATTTTTTCATTAACAACTAACTAACTACAAAACAAATCATATTACCATATGTCTTTTTTGCAGATTATTTACCATAAACCAATGCGAACTGAATACTTAAAATTACATCATAGTTAGATATGGATGTGTGACTTAGTGGCTAGAGAATTTGACATCCGACGAATTAAAGATCAATTCATATACTTTTCTATTCATTGCGATCTAGGAAGCAGGATCACATCACTTGTGACCTATAACCGTTCACTTCAATGTTTTCACATATTGACTATCTTGTACTTATGTGAAAGTACCTATGAACAGATACTTTTTTCTTGGTCAGAACAAAACATTACAAACTAGAATCATCGAATGTAAAATTTAGTAAGTATTAGTGGTACTTTATCATGGTATGTAATGCTTTATACAAGCAGAAACGGTAATTCCCCCCTATAAGTAAACTGCTTTTCATCTTAGTATCGAAGTAGAAAAAAAACGCCGACAATATAAAAGCTAGTAATTTTTAATATGAATGCAATTAAGTTATTGTCAAACGTAATAAATGTTCTGCTACCTAATTAATTGCTAATCACTAAGAAGTTACAGTAAATCCAATTGGTGGTTAGAGGTAGTTAAGTGGGAACTCTTCATAACTAAGGTTTCTTGTTAGTTGATATATGTCAAAAATGTGTACTCATAATGCTGAAGGAAATGATTCTCCCCTTAGGATTCGGACTCTTGTCGCGTAACTTTACGGTTTAAAATGTTAATATTGCGAAATTCGGGTTCTGATTGACTTCCTGTAGGACTAAAATAGTTACAAGTGATGTTCCGGGAATTAGTGGTCAGTGTCACATTCATCTAGTCCGTTAGTGCTAACCAAAATTTCTCGATCATAGTTAGTGAGAGATATTTGTTAATAGATACCTCAAAAGTCTTTGCTTCAACGCTCACCTAATATGCCGTGTCAAAATGTCATAAACTCTTGCTAAACTTGACAAAAAGAAACTATACCTAACGGTTCACCATATAAGTTAGTATTTAAGGTAAAGGTAAATAGATTCACTTTCTAATATCTTATATCTAATAATTATGAGACGTTTCATCTCAAGAATAGTCTTAACTTTCGTACAGCTAGGGTTTCAAAAAACCGTTGTTAATCCTAGACAACCTGTATATAAAACCAAAAGGGTGCGAGTTAATATCAATCTCACAATTTATCATACCAATCTATAATTTTCTACACACACACACATGTACGCTGGTCAGTATAATGGAATACAGCATAGTCATTTACACGGATTTCTTTACTATATTACACACCTTACTAATAATTGATTTAAGCTTTTACTTCAACACAAGGCTAATGAGGTATGGCAACCTGGACTGATGCACATATGTGCCTGGTCCTACGTTGTAGCTGACTGACTGACTGACAAGGCTATTTGATTTACTTCTAAATGTTAGGATTATGTAAACAGGTGTTCAAAGATGCTTTTAGCACTTAGTCTCTTATTGAGAAATACTTTACCAAATAATCAATAATGTTAACGTATAATACTTCATACTTATTATTCCTTAATTGTCAGTTTTTTAGGGGTTGTGGAGATTGTTTAATTTTTGATTGAGATCATGAACCGATTGTTGTTAGACCACCACTGAAAACCTGGAAGCACTGGATGGCCATTTTTTGTCCTATTGTGAGACTCCTCAGCAGTGCACATCCACGATCCCGCCCACGGGATTCGAACCCAGGGCCTTCAGTCTCGCGCTCGAACCCTTAACCTACTGGACCAGTGAGCCAGCCGGTATCCAATAGTGTTGATGTCTAACATCAACCAATCCACGAAATTGCGCTACCATCTTCCATTGTACTGAGATAGATACCTGTCTCTTCCCGACACGGATTAGCTTCACTGGTCATTATCTGGAATTTAATTTCTTCTTATTTACAAAATCGAATTGTCTCAATTAAATTATCTGGTGACAACTTGAAATCACTAGATAAATATTTACTATCAATAATGCACCAACACAAACTCGTTAGATACAATACACGGAACATTTAATTCCCATGGCTAATTTGTTATTTTTAAATCATTGAGTTAAGCTTCCATTTCTTCTTTATGATAAGTCTTGTGGACTGAACGCTATATTCGTCTCCTAAGCTATTCGGTAACCCCTAAGCTAGAACTATACAGCGACCTGAACACGAGAGAGAAGACTCAAAGTATGCGAGAAGTAGTTTACTTCAAGGTTCATTTTAATACAGAAAATACAGGATTTTTATAATATTTTAAATGTCCTTGGGTTGCTAGATGATTCTGGAAATGCTACTTAACATAGTAGCCGTGTAGCAGCCAACCAATCAGAGCCTCTGCATGAGACGATTCGCTTCCTTGATATTTTTGGTAAAACCTCCAAGTGAACGCTGATTGAATGAAACGCTTCTTAGTGTTTCCGGATGCTTGCTTGTCTTTTGCAAGCAATTTTCTGGATCACCCCAACACTATTTCAATATCAGTCAACTTAATTTATAAATAAAACTAGTTTTATAGTTAAACAAGGTTGAATTATATCACAATCAAAACATTAAAATTTAATTTTTTTTATGGTTAGCGTTTTTTTTGGCGAGTTAGTTTTCTACTGAATGGGATAACTAACCCAATACCCAACCCTCCTCATTTATTCGGGCTTGGAATCAGACATTAGCCCTAGAGGGGCTCCAGGTGGAGTTTGAAACAATTACTGAATAATTATTGAGGCCAAAGACAGTTTTAATTTATAGCCATGGTTTCAATATATGCCAAATTATCGATCAAATAATTAGATCGCATTATTTTCTTAGTGAAATCGAGTTTTAAAACAATGTTGACTTAAAGAACTATCAATGATACTGACTAATTGGATTTAACTGATGAGAAATATAAGGTATTGAATAACTATTTTATTTTAGTTGAGATCATGAATTAATTGATGTTAGACCACCGTTGGAAACCTGGAAGCACTGGACGGCTGTTTCGTCCTAGTATGGGACTCCTCAGCAGTGCGCATCCACGAAGTCGTGACCAGTAGAGCTAATCCGTGTCGGGTAGAGACAGGTATCTACCTCAGTACAACGGAAGATGGTCGCGCGATTTCGTGGATTGGTTGATGTTAGACATTAACACCACTGGACACTGGCTAACTCAGTGGTCCAGTTGTCTAAGCGTTCGCGCGCGAGACCGAGGGCCTTGGGTTCGAATCCCGCGGGTACGGGATCGTGGAAGCGCACTGCTGAGGAGTCCCATACTAGGACGAAACGGCCGTCCAGTGCTTCCATGTTTCCAACGGTGGTCTAATATCAATTAATTCATTATCTCAACCAAATCTTAACAATCTCCACAACCCCCGTACTGATATTTTATTTTAATCTGAGATTTCCTATCGATACACATTTAAGGTTTCAATGAGAATCAAATCTGGGACATCTAGGTTCAGTGATTCACAATAACAATCCTTTCTTACACTAGTAATAGTTTATTTCTATTGGCAATACTAAGTCTATTCTAGATATAATGATATTTCATCAGTCATTAGCTTTCACTTGAATTCAAGAGATTTACTTCGAAATTAATCATTTATTTGATTGTGTGCAAAAATCGATTTAGTTTTAGTGAATTCTTTCTTTGTCATGAATAAGAATTATCTAATGTTTCAATTGGAACGATGATTTAATCGTTGAATTTATGAGTCGATTAAAGCTAGATCACCATGGAAACCTGAAAGTACTAGACGGTCGTTTTTTGTCCTATTGTGAGACTCCTCAGCAATGCGTATCCATGATCCCGCCTTGCGTAATTCAAACTCAGGATCTATCGGATTATATTTATCATCTTTTATTTATTTAAAATCATCTAACAATTACAATTACAATATAATAATTCAATTCAATCATTTGTAGATCTCTTTCTTAAAATTAGCACACACACACACAAAAAAAAGAAACTTGATTGTACTTTTTTATTCGTTAAATTATATCATAATTATCACCTGTGTTGAAAGAGAAACTGATCAGTTATTAATTAGTTAACATTAGTTTAATTAGTTTCTATATAGGAGTTTGGGTTGTTTTGGTTTTTTTCGTAATATCCATTTGAGTTGGTTCTTTTTTTTTTTGCATTTTGACCTTATGAATTATTTTACAAAAGTGCACAAAAGCATAGATAATCTATACTTAGATTAATTTAGTACTCCGTAAGTAGATATTCAATTAAGTCCTAACTAACAAAACAAAAAGAAGAATCAGTATAGGGTTGTGGAGATTATTAAGTTATTGATTAAGATCTTGAACTAATTGATGTTAGACCAACATTGAAAACCTGGAAGCACTGGACGGCCATTTCTTCCTATTGTCAGACTTCTCAGCAGTACACATCCACGATCCCGCTCACGGGATCCGAACCCAGGGCCTTCAGTCTCGAGCCCGAACGCTTAACCTACTGGACCAGTGAGCCAGACTTTATTCAATAGTGTTAATGTCTAACATCAACCAATCCACGAAATTGCTCGACCATCTTCCTTTTGTACTGAGATAGATACCTGTCTCTACCCGACACGGATTAGCTCCACCAGTCACGGCTTCTCATTAGAACTCTGAGAATTCCCTCACGAAGCTAGTCACTAATGAACACATGATAGTTATCAGTATAGGGGTTGTGGAAATTGACTTTAGATGAATTTTCATTTATTGTAATCTTATATTATAATAAAAGCTACTCAGTTGATAAAATTTCTGTATATTTGGATAAATTTTCCTCACGAGCTCTAAACAGATAAATAAATCAATGTATACAATATTCAAGATTAGATTTACATAATCAAACTGTTTACATAACATTTAAATACATGTAACAATGATTAGTATAAAGAAAGACACTGTTATGAATATTCGAAGAATCATTACCTATAACTTAATTCTCATTATTTTCGTTAACTTCAATCAGTTTGACATATTTTTCTTATTTAAATTTCTCTTCTTTTTTTGCGTTTAGTATTGGAGAAAGCGTCATATACGATTAAAAAGCCAAGTTGGAAGATTATCCGATGGATTTCGTCGTAATGTCAAAGTTATATTGTAAGTTAGTAAGGATGATATACATATACATATATGTGTGTTTATATGTTATTGTGTAATATATCTTACAACTTTAAGGTCTTTTATGAGATTTACAGTTTGTTTTGTATGTTATTAAGAATCGTAAGTATCCCTTTTATTGAATTCACTTGGTATTGTTTACTTGAATCTTTTCATTGATGTTTACGACTGAAATTAATCAGTCTCTTATTGGCATATATCCATACTGTGCGGATTGTCTCGATATTGCCTTAAGTCACAACCTATTCAAGCAAAGATGAATAGTGGCTAGTGGTGAAATCCAGGACACGCGTTTCGTCATATTTGGAACTTGTCAGCTGAATGTATCTGCATCTTAGAGTTGACGGCCATTTCAGGACTCGAACGCAGTGCCGTTCGCTTCAAACACCATCGTGTTATCCCCTTACCTACTTAGTCCTGATATTCACTTGCTTGTGCAATGGGGTGAAGTTATAAATTCACTTGATATTGTTTACTTAAATCTTCCCATTGATATTTAGGACTGCAATTGATCAGTCTCATGTTGGCATACGTGCATACTGTTCATATGGACTCGATATGGCCTTAAATCACAAGCATTCTAAGCAAAGATGGAAGAATAGTAACCCAGTCACCTAACAATTTAAAATGAAAAAACCACAAAGTTCACTTATTTTGTAAAAGTTCCAATATCAGAAAATTATAATATGAGTAATAAAGTTGACAATATGTAGTTAACCTTAATGAAAGTTTGACGTGTATTTATTGGTTAATTATAATAAGAATACTTACTTACTTACTTACTTACTTATGCTTGTTATCCCTCGTCGAGGAGCATAGGTCACCCACCAACACTCTCCATCTAACCCTGTCTTGAGTAGTCTTTTCCAGTTGTTTCCAGTTGCTAATCATTTTTTTAATATCTGCTTTCGTTTCCCGACCTAGTGTGTTCTTCTCTTGACTGAACCACACATTCATGTAGATACATCCATAATTATACTTGTGTACGTTTAACAAAACACTATATGCATACATAAATACATTTTTCCTTTATTTTTCCAGTGTTTATCGTAATGGTGATACATTTACACCAGCTATACGTGTACATTTAAGACCTATACAAGCAATGGATTTCGAATTAATTATGCGTGCAATTGAAGATTGTGTTATTTTACCATATGGAAAAGCTGTTCGAAGGTAAATAAAAAATGGGGACTTTGTTTGATTATTCATATCAAACTCTATTTTATTTCTTATTTGATTTTAATATTAAATTTGTGAAGAAAGAGGATGAGGCACAAAGAAAGAGGGAGAGGAGAGGAACAAACAATTAATTCATTTTATTCTCTCACTTAAATCCAAGTTGCGTTTTGTTTCCAATCATAGACGGGATTCAGTTCATGACATTCAATCTGAAAATGTTTGAAACTAGAATAGATCATTGATACAGCTTTTCTAGGTTTCCAGAAATTATCATTATTTCTAATATCAGTGTATGTATGTAGAAAGCACAGATCTCCCATCTGAATAAGATATTCATATGTATGTATATTTTCAGTATATTACTTATTTACTTACTCACTCCAGTTATCCCTAGTAGACCCTTGACCACCGACTAGGATTCTCCAACCAACTCTGTCCTATGTTCTTCTTTCCAGTTGTTTCCAAGTATTATTCATTCTTATGATGTCTGCTTCCAATTACTGACCCAACATGTTCATTAATCTTCCTCTTTTACTTTGAGTGTATACTTACCGGATAAATCAATTTATTTTACAAAACGAATAACTGAAACTATTAACAATTATAGCATTATTCAACCATGTAAATCTTATTACTGTAAGGAATGCCCAGTACTTATTATGGAATGTTACCATAAACGTTCCTTTAGAATTCACTAAAACTATAATTATTCAGGAAGTATATTTAATTTTCTTTGAATAGTTTATATCTATTAATTAACTTCAGTATCCAACATTTCAGTTGCTATGGCAACTTTTCACATCTACCACATATTGAATGTCGTACACAGTTCCCTTTATCATTTTGAAAAGAGCAAGAACAAAGATTCTAGCAGAATAACATGAATTCATTCTATTTCGTAGGTTCTCGTCAGCTGCTTACAACCTGTGGTATTTAAAAAGATAATAATTACATAATGGGTTTAAATTGCTTACATGAGAGGGTTTATATTGAAGAAATATTCGTAAAGTATAACATGGGTGTAAATGAAATTAATAGGCTGAATATTGTAAATATTTACCTAATGTGAAAGAATATTCTAGAGCATTAATCGTGACAACAGTTCAAAAGTGGGTTAGAAACAATTGATTACATAATGAATAAACATTGATAGGAATATAGTGAGTAGAGTTCAGTTGAAAGATTATTCATTTGAAAGATAGTTGAATAAAATAAAATAGAGTCATTGATGTAATAAATACAAAAGAAAAAAAGAAAAAAATTTAAGGTGCAGCGAAAGAATATTTGTCACCAAGGCAAGGAAAGATTAACAACCATCTCCTTTTGAATACATAGGTCATGTTTTTGACTCCTGATGGCAACGACTTCAGCAAACTTCAAAAGACTGGAGTTTGGCTGCTTACTAATCACCTTGAATGATTGTATATCGAATGCATGAATCTCATTTAGACCCTAACTGAAAACATTATACATCCGTCCCATCCTAGTATGAAAGTCCTCAACATTTCATTATTGTTTAATAGCTATACACACTGGTATGTAGTTTCTAAATGATGGTAAGAACATGTATCTGTGTATATATCAGTAAGTTACCTACATGAGACCATCATAGTCTATATTCACCCGAAGCAAACAGTAATAGAGTAAAATAGGTATGTACCAAATCCCATGTTTCATTATAGTCAAGAATGCTAAACAAAGATTAATACCTCCATATTGTAAAAATGATAACTTAACAAATTCCCAAATAACATCAGTCTATTGAAGGTTTATAGATAATAGTCAGTTATAACAATGCTAACTAAATTTTCAATATCTAGGGATAAACCGAATTCCAAACTTCTTTTTAAAAATTTAGAAGTATCATATGCTGTGATTTAATCAGATGACATTTTTCCCTTATTTATGTCATAGAATATTCAGTAAACGGAATACACCCATTTAGACATTACATTTTTATTTATTTAAACACATAAACATTGGTACAAGGAGGCACCAAACACATATGCGTTACATAAATCGAATGATTTATGTGAGAGCTGGGATACTACCGAGTCCCCAAACCGAAATAGGTAGTTTTCTTAAGGGGCCACATCACAAGTCTTTGACCTAAAGCTCTAATCCAGAAGGCAGTGGAGCAACGTCGGGAGATGCAGTCCCATGGTAGTCGGTAACTAACGATTGGTTTATACGCCATTTGTTCCCTCAGGGTACTGGACCCCATGTGCACTATTGGTTTGGAATGAGGGTTTCCCAACTCTCCTAGGTGAACTCTCCGTGTCCACTAACCCAGTTAAAGCGTTGGACATTCACTTTTCGTCCTCTTAATTTCGCAAGCAACTCCCCTGGCACGAGAACACAGTGATTAGGGCTTCTCTTGCAGTGGTTGTATGAATGTGGTCATGTGAGAGCATTCCGAGAGGAAGATCTGACTCTCCCCGCTCTCGTCGCTACTATGGCATTTGGTGGCAAGACATTAAATAAAAAAGATTGGTTCAGCAAAAATTTCTCTTTTCCGCGAATTCACTTTCAAAGCTATAAAATCGCAAATATATATACTTGTTTTTCAAGATGATAAGGACTACAATAATTACAATAATAATGATAATAAACTTCTGTTAGACATGGTGACAGTGAGGTAGCATAGACAAAGGTATTTAAAACTGTTTTAATCATACGCTTCTTCCTTTACAGTTGTTTGCTCCTCCCCCACCTTATCTTTAAACCTTCTGTCCCCAAATGGCTTGTTTCTGTTTCTATGATCCTCCTGATTACATCTAATCTCAATTTCAACATTTTATCTTATCATGCTGAGCCATCCTTTCCGAATGATAATTTCCTTATCTATATTTTGATAAATATTTGTGCCATTAACAATTAAACAATTATTATTGTAATTATTATCATCTTGAAATGATAAGCGTATATATTTGAGATTGTACAGCTCTGAAAAGAGAACTCTTTGCTGAACCAATCTTTCATACATAATATTCAACTGAAAAACTGTAAATAAATACAGTGATCATCTTTTAACTGATACACGTGTATTTGGACTTCACAGATGACTCAGCTTTCCTATCCAATACACACGAACAAATGAAGATGAAGACAACTAATGTAGCAGCAGCCTCTGCATCGGTAGGACTCAACATACAAAAGAGAAAAACCAAGATCCTCAAATACAACACAGCGAACGCCAACTAAACCAATCACACTGAATGGTGAATCTATGGAATGTGTGGGTAGCATAACCGATTGCCTCGATATAGCCTTAAGTCACAAGCATCGAAAGCAATGATGAATAGTGGCTAGCAGTGGAATCTAGGACACGCGTTACGTCCTATTTAGAACGCTACTGTTAGTCGCTATCCATCTTTGTCTATAATGCTTGTGACTTAAGGCCATATCGAGTCCATATGAACAGTATGCGCGTATGCCAATAAGAGACTGATCAGTTACAGTCCTAAATATCAATGGGAAGATTTAAGTAAACAATACCAAGTGAATTTAAAACTTCACCCCATTGCACAAGCAAGTGAATATCAGGACTCAGTAAGTAAGTGGATAACGCGATGGTGTTTGGAGTGAAAAATACTAAATTCGAGTACCTGGTTGAAAACCAACTCTGAGATACAGGTACATCTGGCTGATGTGTTCCAAATAAGACTGAACGTCCGTTCTGGATTCCACTGCCAGCCACCATCCGTCTCTGCTTACGATGTGAACTTTTGTCAATATATTTATGCTACTTATAAGTAGCTAAGCGATTAGTTTGCAATAAATCGCCTGAACCACATGAAAGTTTGCTAGTCTATCGGCAAACATGGAATCAAGTTTGTTTTGCTTACATATATGTTCAAGAGTTTCAGTAGACAAAAATATATGCAAGATATTAATTATAAGATTACTCCTAATATAAGTTTATAGTGTATGCTTTAAATCGATTTGTAAAAGGATTTCATGGAATTAAAATAGAGCTTAATAAACGTGTAATATTTCTGTCATTCATACAACTTGAAAGTTTAAACTAGCTTCCAAATGCAACCAGTGAAAAAATTTAAGACAGAATCAGATACTTGATTTTTTAAATAAACATATTACTATTAACGTTGAATAGCGGCTGACAGTAGAATTCAAGACTATCGTTTCCGGCCATTTGGTACTCACCAGCTGAATGTGCTTGTATCTCAGTGTCAGTAATCAACTACAACTTAAAATCAGTGTCTTTTGCTTCGAGTGCCTTAACCGCTATCCACTTAACTGCTGAATACAGATAATCACTTGCCTGTCCAACACCTTATTAACTATCATTGTAGAAAAAATACATATATTTTGCCATTATATAGCCTTGAGAATGAATTCTCTGAATCACTTTTCCTTATTTTTATGCCCAAATGAATATGGTCCGTCTTCTAGATAAATTTAACATTCTGAAACTTTATTGGTAATGGTTTACTTTTTCTTAGTTTTGGTATTCAGAACTGTATGTAATTTTGAGCGGATCACCCTGGCATAATCATTAAGTTACATTTTAATATAATTAGATCAATGTTAATAGTGGAGCTTAGAGTACATATTCTGTTCTACTTAAGTTTTCTTAATGATGAAATATATTATTAATAAAACTGTGTGTTAATCGAAAACCAGAGTTATGTTAATGTGATATGATTGACAGTTAACCAAGTCATAAGAACATCATTAACACTGAGATCTAAACAATATTTGCTTTCGTTTGTTTATTCTCTAATCAATTCATGTTTGTTTTTAGAAATTTAATTTGATTTCATTAAGAAAGGAGAAAATGGTAAATATTTAATATCTCACCTGTGTTTTTACGGACATTTGATTAATGATTATAAATATGTTAAAAGAATTACATTCGCAATTGATTGATCACTGGATGGTGATCAATGTCATGTGTGTCAAGTCTTTCTTAGTGCAGATCGAATGCTATTGGCCAAGTTGCAATATGACCACTAGTCTGAAGGACTCGACATT